ATATTTAATATAGGGTAATTCAAAAACAAAGATTTTTCCAAGAAATAAAAAGCGAGAGGTGATATTCCAGATGTTTTTTAAATATGCTACATAAGTCCTATTTCTGGATATTAACATGGAGAACAACTCAACAACTTTGTGGAAAAGTATAAATAGCTTTAAAAAAATCATCCTTTAAATAAAATCCAATTAATCTATCCCAGTAGGTATTTTTATATTGACTAACAACTTTCTTGAGCCTTAGTTTCCTCATCTGTAAAAATGGAGTTCATTCACTTATTAACAAAGAGTTACTGAATGCCTACCAAGTGCCAGGGACTGGTTTGGGCTTTGGGAGCACAGTGGTAAACAAAACAGATGTAATTCTTACCTTCCTGGTGCTTACATTCTAATGATAATACCCATCTCATGGAATTGTTGGAAAGATTGCGTATTATGTAATTACAAGTATTTTGTGACTTGCAAAGTGCTATATAAATCCAAGGTTCTTGAATATGACTTATTCCTCTTTCAGAATAGAAATCAGTAGGTATTAATAAAAATGATGGTTTAACTAGAGTTTTAACACTGCCACATTTCACTACTAGAAGTCCTCAAGTCATACGCAACTCTAATTCATTCTATTTGTTCATTCCAATAATAATTTACCTAAAGTAATTTAAGAAAATCATATTAATGTATGATATGAAACACTAAAAGACTGCCCACAAGAGGTTAATAGATAACCTTTATTGAGCCCATATACGATGTAACAAGTACTGTGCTATTCCTGGCTGAATGCAGAAGAAATATTACATAATGTTTTATCACTGCAGTCTCTCAAAACAGACCACTTCATCACCATATGTACTACTTTTAAGATAAGTCATCGTCTACAATGTTTTTAATGACTGTTATTTTATGGCTATACCAATATTAATATTCTATAATTAACATCCTTATAACCAAATCATTGCATGTACTATTTCCTCAAGTCTTACTGTGTTTTTCTACAAGAACAAAACAGTGTAAGAAAACAGCTTAAATTTAATAAAATGTGTGCCTTTATATTTTCGGACTTACTGGCACATTTTAAATATTTTCCCAGGCTGGGCACGGTGGCTCACGCCTGTAATCCTAGCACTTTGGGAGGCTGAGGTGGGTGGATTGCTTGAGCTCAGGAGTTCGAGACCAGCCTGGGCAACATGGTGAAACCCCATCTCTACTAAAACACAAAAAATTAGCCAGGCGTGATGGCACACACCTCTAACCCCAGCTACTGGGGAGGCTGAGACAGGAGAATCACTTGAACCTGGGAAGTGGAGGTTGCAGTGAGCCGAGATTGTGCCATCGCACTCCAGCCTGGGTGACAGAGCTAGACTCCGTCTCAATAAAAATAAATAAATAAATAAATAAATAAATAAATAAATAACTTTCCCAATGTTACCCAAAATTTCATAAAATGAATTTTAGGTTATAAAATTTTACATTCACAAAGGGTTAGGAAAATATAACTAAAATTTTGTCTAAGCTGTTTTTCTTTCCTTTTTTGGAAACGTCACAGGAAATATATATGGAATTAACTGCTTTTTATAATTGCTCTGGTCATGAATATAGGACAAAGATGAGTATGCAAGAATATATTCACTGTATCAAAGTGTGAAATTAAAACAGGATTACAGGAATTGAAAATTGGAAATTCCTACTGTCAGTCATCTTTGGTGAACACGATGCTTGTATGATCTATAGAATTCTACCTTGATAACCAACAAATTATCTCTATTATCTCAAAGATTATTAAACGTTGAGTCTGGTCTTTCTGGAACAAACATCCAGCATATACAGCAACTTGGGGAAGAAATACTGTTGATTAATGGCAAAGCCTTATAATCTCCTGGGTGCAGTGAAATAAATTCCACAAATATAAAGAAAGCATTTTAAATAGTATTCTTCTCAAATTATGAATGCTTCCTATATGCAATTTCCAACATGAATTAAGTGATCAGAGTGTATTCAGAATACTCCAAAAAAGAAACTGAGACCTTGGTATATATGTTTAAATTTTAATACTCAAGAGAACAAACGTAAGTTAAAACAGTATACAAATACTGCTGGCATAAGAAAAGAATATACACAAATTTGGATTCAAATGGGGTCATTATGTGAACCTAACAGGTTGTTAGGATGTAAGAATACATCCTAACAACCTGTTGAAGCCTTTTAATAAAGTAACAGATTTTAAAACAGATAGATATAAAAAGACTGAAGAAAGAACAGTAATTTTTCCTTAAATTCTCTTATCCATAAAGAATGGCAAACTCCATATGGACAGTAAAGTCAGAGGTTATCTAATTTATCAAGGCATTTTGAAGACATAAACGTTAAATACCTACTTTAAGCCCAAACAAGGTAAAAATAAGCGGCATTTCATTGTGCTCAAGTTTAATTTTACGTATCAGTCATGTTAACAAATTATAGCAAATAAAAATAAAAACATTTTCCATTTTTTTGAAAGTACACATCATTACTTCTCCCAGGTACTTCAGTAATTTAAGTTTAATACTCATTTCATTAAACATTAAACACAGAAAAGAATTTACAATATCTTGCACTATTAAGAAGAGATGGCAAGTTCTCCCAACTTCAACAGTGTAAAAGCTGTTTTTAAATTGTGAAAATTATTAGAAACACTAGCTCTCTAGGAGAATTTCAAAATATATCTGAAGAAACTAATTGTCTTTCGGATATTGTTTATTCAAACAAAACTTTTCGACAGGCGTGATGGCTCATGCCTGTAATCCCAGCACTTTGGGAGGCCCAGGCAGGTGGATCACCTGCAGTCAGCAGTTCAAGATCAGCCTGACCGACATGGTGAAACTCCATCTCTACTGAAAATACAAAAAAAATTACCTGGGCCTGGTGGTGGATGCCTGTAACCCCAACCACTCAGGAGGCTAAGGCAGGAGAATCGCTTGAACCCAGGAGGCAGAGGTTGCACTGAGCTGAGATTGTGCCACTGTACTCCAGTCTGGGCAACAAGAGCGAAACTCCATTTCAAAAAACAAAACAAAACAAAACAACACCAAAACAAAACAAAACCCACTTTTATTTTGGAAGGGTAAGCTATGTATAAATAAAAATTCATTCAACATGAATGTAATTGGAGAAATTCCCTACTGTTGAAAAATAGTAATAGTAATGTATAAACTGACTTCCAATTATTCAAATAAACCTTTTTTTTTTTTTTTTTTTTTTTTGAGATGGAGTCTCACTCTGTCGCCCAGGCTGGAGTGCAGTGGTGCAATCTCAGCTCACTGCAACCTCCGCCTCCCGGGTTCAAGCGATTCTCCTGCCTCAGCCTCCTGAGTAGCTGGGATTACAGGCATGTGCCACCATGCCCGGCTAATTTTGTATTTTTAGTAGAGAAGAGGCTTCACCATGTTGGTCAGGCTGGTTTCGAACTCTTGACTTCGTGATCCACCCACCTTGGCTTCCCAAAATGCTGGGATTGCCCGACCTCAAATAAATAATTCTTTGGTTAATTCTGGAATTTTTGTCAGATGCCTGTGGGATACTTTTATTCCTGATCACATTCAACACAAACCTTAGTGTTTATATACTGTAAACAACATAAATTACATATTGTAAAATCTACTAGGATTCATAGGTTGACTACAATTCCATTTACATTTTGCTTTAAGTTCTAAAAGTTACTGATGAAGAAGTGTTACGTGGTTTTATAAGGGAATACTTGATAGAATTCTTCCTGTCTGAAAAGATGCATTAAATATTTCTGATCACTAAAAAGTAAAGCTTCTAGCACCTCTTGAACATTGACTTCACTTTCCAAAGATGTATCTATCATCTCTCTCAATGCCCAAGTCAACAGTCGAGCTAAACCAAGTATTTGGTGACTGTCTCTTTAAAGAAGAGAAGCATCAGTTCTCCCTTGCACTCATCTTTGCCTGCACACATCTTTGTTTTTTATCTGTACTCTTCAGGCAAAAGATAACTTATCTTTATGGAAAGTTTTCTTGCTTTGTAATCTATAGAACATTAGTAGCCAGCTTAAAATGCTTATTCTATGATTGTACATTTGTGTAAACTATTATATTTTTCTTTAGAAAACACATTTTAGTTTAAAACAGAGAAACACAAACCTGAATACTGAATAACCTATAATTGACAATACTGTAAAGTTATTAAAAACACTCTTAAAACTTCTGAAAGTACATTAACAATTTTTAAATAGTCACCATCCCTTAAAAATAAATTATTTACAAGTGTCACCTTAGGTCGATGGAGTTTATGCAGTCATTACATGATCGGGATATGCCTCTTGAGGGTGTGTGCCTACAGTGCAGAAAACCTTGAACATATCTTGTCTACTTGCCATTGGAAAACTGAAGGCAGCATAACTTTATTAAAGAAAATTAACCTAATTGGAAGAAATTAATTAAAATTGGTATTATGCTATCTAGAGAAAAATTTAATTTTTTAAAGAATTTTTCATGGTAGAATTTCATGATAGAATTTTTACATAGCATAACTAAATTATTTCAGTATCATCTTAATTTTAAAGTTGTTAAAACATAATTCTGATGTTTCACATTATTGTAATGTAAAATGTCAGATCTGCACTTATAGGAAATTACATTATAAAAATTATTTTTAATATGCTAAAAGCTACTAAACCAGTTTCCCGTCACATTGCACAACATGTGAAATATAAGGTGTCTAAGTTTTTATAGATAATATAAAAAATTGTTAACGTTTGTTTATACTTCAGTAAGTTAATGTGCTGTTTTTTTTTCTTTTTTTACCAAAAATATTGCTGACAAAATATTACCAATGTAAATATAAGCCACATGAAGCAATCAGTTCCTTCCGATTTGGAAAGCTTAAAAAAAATAAATAATAAGAATTCTACCTAACACAGAGTAATGCCAAGCTAGTCAGCAGCAGTCATGACTTAGTACTGTTGGATCAGGCAATTCTGATCAGAACATTGAATTAGATGCCTTTTGTGGGACAAGTGCCAAACCGTTGTTTTTTTTTTGTTTTTGTTTTAAACCAAAATGCAATGACCTAATAGTAAGAGCACCATCGTTGATATTAGCAGGTATATGAACTCCATATTTAATACATATTCAAAAATAGAGCAACTATTGTTAAAATTCTTGTAGTGTTAAGTAACTTTTACATTTCCTGCAACAGGCAGATGTTAACAAAGATGCTATAGACTGAAAATCATATACATGTCTCTTATTAATAAAAACCTTGCAGTGATTTTACAACTGTTTGCTTCAGAAGGGCTCCTTCTGAATTCAGGTATGTGAATTCTGATGAACCCTTTCCTCATCCCAACCTCCATCCTCACTATCCTTAGTGTCTGCACCTATTTAGACAGACACAAACAGGAGAAACTTTTAAGATGTGAAGCTAACACATTCACTCTTCTTTTTCTCTTTTTTTATAATGACTATGTATTTATTTTCTAGGTTTCTTACTTCCGGTCATGACGAAATAATGGTCATCATCTTCCTTTTTCTTTGCAGTAGGTTTTTTATCTCCACTATCTGCATCCTTAACAGGTAAGGGTGGTTTCCTGGTTGAAGCTGGGGTTTTGCCACTTTTGGGAGGCCCTTTAGTTGAATGCTGGCCCTTAGCGACAGTCTGTACTACCTTCGGCGCAGTTTGTGTTTTGGTAGAAGACTGGGGAAGGCTCACGATGGACAGTGGGGTTCGGCCAGGAGACTTCGAGGAGCTGGGTTCTGTCTTCTGAAAAGTACTTTTATTCTGAGGCTGCTTTTTGGTAACTGGAACTATATTCTTATCTTTTGATTTCTGTGTAGCTTTTCCAGGAGAAACTGAGGACACAGAAACTGGCTGATTTAAATTCAAGGCCGATTGAAGTTTCTGTGCTGGGACTGGCCTTGCTTGTGGGGCACCATCGGATGGTTGAGACTGTGTTCCTAGACCCGTGGCTATGTTTTTGGAACTGGATTTTGTCATTTTTGCAGAGGACTGGAAAGAAGGTTTAGGTCTTACAGGTGTATTTGCTTTAGGTAGCTTAGGACACTTTGAGGATGAATTTGAATGTGCAGCTAAGTGAAATACTGCACTATCTCTGGAAGAAATATGATTATGTTTCAAATACTTAGGTTGAGTTTTTCCAGAACACTTATTTGGCAAAAGTGTGGACTCAGGCAGATCTGTTGAATTCTGGGCTGGAATAACCTTGGCCTTAGGGGTACTGGGGGATGCAATACATTTTCTTGGTGACTCAGATATACAAGGTGTAGTTCTTGGTAAAGCTGGTGAAGAAATATTTTTACCTACTGGATTTAATGAAGCAAGTGAAGATGATGCATTGTTGGAAGGAGGCTGCGGTTTCTTTGTTATGCCTCTTGAAGACTTGAGCTTGGGATGAGACGATGCTGCGGGAGAATTTGGCAATTTAGAACGGACTGACATAGGGCCCAGATTACCTCCTTTCAGTGAAGATGGTGGCACCAATGCACCTGGTGGACGTCCCTGTTTTTCTTTGCTTTTTGGCATGCTGGGTTTTGAATTTTGTTTCTGAAACATGTGAACTGCTGACAAAGGATTCATTTCAGGAGGCTGCGGCGTTCTGGCGGGCGAATCAGGTACACTCTCATTAGAAACTCCTTTTTGAAAGGCTAAAATTTTTTGTTCTAGTGTGGCAAACTGTAATATTCGACAGGGGTCATATTTAAGCAAAAATCCTTGAAGAGTATCCCAGCCTCCACCAACACGAACCATGACATGTTTTCCATGAAGCATCTGCCCCCAAAAGGAAAATAAAAAGTAAAGCTGTAATACTGTGAGATTTACAGTTACAATTCATTAGCAGTTACAATATGTGATGTCTGAGATCTATGAAATTCAGAGCATTTGCCAACAGCCTCACTACAAATTGACAGTTTCTTTCTTGTTATTCATATAATAAATTTAACTCACATCAAATTATGCAACTAACGATACAAAATCTTCCTATTTGTGGGCCGTGCGCAGTGGCTCACGCCTGTAATCCCAGCACTTTGGGAGGCCGAGGAGGACGGATCATAAGGTCAGGAGATCGAGACGATCCTGGCTAACAAGGTGAAACCCCGTCTCTACTAAAAATACAAAAAATTAGCCGAGCGTGGTGGTGGGCGCCTGTAGTCCCAGCTACTTGGGAGGCTGAGGCAGGAGAATGGTGTGAATCCGGGAGGGGGAGCTTGCAGTGAGCCGAGATGGCGCCACTGCACTCCAGCCTGGGCGACAGAGCGAGACTCTGTCTCAAAAAAAAAAACAAAAAAACTTCCTATTTGTAAGAAAGGTATTTACATATAACTTGCATCCTAAAAATAAGATATCCTGGCTCTGCCAATATATCTCAAGTTGGGTTTTAGGGCCCTGTCCATTCAGCAGGCAAATCTGCACACCTGTATGAGATTACCCACAAATTTTAACTCTAAGTCCTATGCTCTGTGTACTACCACATCATACTGCCTTAAAACAGAAAGCTAATTAAAAGAAAATGCATGTAAATGTTTCTGTATAAGCTAGGTGGGGCTGAGGAGGTAATAATAATACGTGAAATAGAAGAAAATATGGATGGTGAAATTATATTTTTAAATACTTTTATATTATTTTCCTAAATTGGAAATAAGACAGCTTCTGTATGAGAAGTGGAAAGGATGATGAACAGGTGAAATTTCAATCTCCTCACCAGCAAAAGGAACAATTAATCAACTGTAGATAGGACAAAGGAAGGAAATGAAAATATGTATCAGCATACTGGTATACATACTGATTCTGTGTCAATGAGAAAAATATTTTCTGTTTAATGTCCAAGGCTTGTATTATTATAAACTGTACAGTTCTTTTTTTTTTTTTTTTTTTTTTTTTACTATGGATACTCAATCTTATTAGATGCTTTGTTTTTTCTTCTTATGATGGAAAATTCCTTTTTCTAAGAAAATTTGAGAAATAAGTTCCTTGAGGTATACAAGGATTTTTCCCCTATTATATTCACTGTCTAAATAATCTTAGCTATCCTGAAGTTAGTTGTCTGCTGTGTGATGAGTGTTTACCTAAATTCATTATATACTCATGAAAGAAATTACTCCATTTTCCTTGTACAGTGAAATCCTTCCATTAATAGCATCTTTTCCAATGTTTTTAAAAGTAAAAGGGGAGCAAAAGGTTAGTGAAACAATAAATCCAATTTCAAAACAGTATTTATGTGTAAATAAAATGTAAATAATGGACTTACTCTTATAAAGAGTATTTTATCCCCTAGTCGGTACCGTCCTTCAGATAAATACTCAATAGAAAATCGATGAGAACAACTACAAGGAGGATCCTCAGCAATATGTTTAACCTAAGATGATGAATAAATAAAATTTAGTGCTTGTTACAAAAAGCATTTTGTTTAAAGTGCAATATTATTTGATAGCCAAGGAAAACCAAACCTAAAAATAAAAATTCTAGGTTCAACAATTTAATTGCTTCTCCTGTGCTTGTTAACAAATATTGAGATTAGACATTGCTAATCTAACATAAAAGCCACAATCTTCCCAGCATGACTTTGTGGTAAAGAAATTCTTATTTTCCCCAGTTTTACCAAAGAGGTTAAACTTGCCTGAGATCATACAGCTAGTAAGTAGCGGAGCCAGGTTTCAGATCCAAACAGCCTAGCTGGTGTCTCTCTGTCTCTCTCTCTCTCTCTCAGTGTCTGTCTCTCTCTCTCTTTTATTTTTCTCTCTCTCCCTCCCTCCCTCCCACCCACCCTTCATCTTCGAACACATAACACAGTGAGGTCAATTAACACATTTGTTGAGTTTTGGGAAACATATGAGTTCGTTACTACGCTTGACTTTGTTTTAAGCCCTGAGTTAATAATACATGTCAAATCAAAGACAGGCCAGTCAGATAAAGGCTAAATAGGAATTTTCACTTGTCCCTAACAGTGTACTAAACTAATATTGTGGGGGAAAGATCTAGATTTGCTCAAATTTATTATTAAAATTGGCAGAAACATATTCACATCTATTCTCTCAAGACTGGGTAAAATTCTTAAAATTTTCAATTCAAGGTGCATTTCTCTAAAAGTGCTCTGTTTCAATAGCTTGCTAAGGAAATAGGAGTTGGCATGGGGGAACTCTACTTCAGCCAGTCAAGAAGCTTACAGAATTTTTTATTATTATAAATATGTTTAAATAGTAGAACTGCAGTAAATATAAAAACAAATTTAAGAATTATATATTCAAAACATGGAAATATAAATATATTAAGTAAAGATATTTGTTGAAATATCTATGACTGAAAAAAGTCACACATCAGCCACTGTGGAAAATATTTGGCTTTTCCTAAAATTATGTTTTTGAAAAAGGGAGGTCATGAATGTTTTTTTCAATTACTGCCACACACAATTTATCAAAACGAATTCATATAACTAAACTTAGGCATGATATTAAAGAGAGTCTCTTTAGATATGCCTAATTTAGCTGAGCACCAATAGAAATTTATATGATTGTCTTAAATATCTACCTAAATCAAATGAACACTTGTGGATTCACTAGAGCCTGATAAGAAAGGTCCAGAATTTATTTTCCTGTATCATGTATTTAACAAAATAATGTGCTTATAAACAAATAGAACTGATTTTCATAAGTCACCCAATCAAGTTTATCTTGTTCACATGCACACGTGCACATGTGCATCTACATTCATACAGACACACACATCATGCGCATAAAATGGTGAAAAATAAACTGAACTCTGGGAAAGGGCTTACAGTTATTAGAACCATGTTGATACATTAGTTAACCAAAGTAATCTGAAAGGAGATATATCTTTTAGTCACCACTTTCTGTCTGTAAAAATTTCCTAAGTATACAGAGTTGCAGTTGTATATTTTGTAACAGGACCCTAAATCATGAATCAGATAATAATTGTTCCTTATTTTCAACAAAGATATCTGTAGATCACATATTTACAGGTAGACATTGAATGTATTCATATAGCACATATATATTTAGAGAAATGTTTCTTTTTAGTTTTCATAACAAGAATGTAGATATAAGGCATATCTTTTCCTTGTTTAAGATACCTGAAGCTCACTTATATTGAGCAGTACAAATCAGCACTAACCCACAATCAGAACAAGGCATGAGCCTAAAAGAAATAAGAGCTCTAGGTAAGAAATGATTTCTTCTGATTTTATTACATAATTTACATCATAATACTGAAGGAAATAGCTAAGAAAATAAAAATAATCTACAAAGGTACTATATTACTATTATTTTCATTCTCATTTCTGTACAGTTTGTCTGTATATACATATTTTACACAAAATAAATGTTTCTTGTTGCTACATATTCTTCATAATGATCACAATGATTATTCTGTTAAGATTATGAATCCTAATTTGCCAAACCATTGCCCTATTTGAAGGTCTTTACATTGCTTTCAATTTTTTACCATTCTAGGTCCTAATGCAATAAACACTTTCATTTATGCTACTTTCTCCCTCTTCAACTACAGTAAAAATGAAAAAGTAATATTTTTGTAGCTCTTAATATTTGTCCATTTCTTTTTCAAAAGTTTATGTCATTTTCCATTGCCAATAGTAAACCCTAAATACAGTTTACTAGAATTTAAAAGCACCAGGCTTCATAATTTAAAAAAATCTTGCTAATGGGGCAAATGGCAAATGGTATTTCATAGCTGTTATAATCTGATTTCCTCGATTATCAGCAAGTTTCGACACTGCGCTATCTTCCTGTGTGAACACAGACCTTGCCCACTTATTTACTGCAATGATTTTCTTATCAAACTGTGTAAAGTCTTTATAATAGGGAAATGAAAACACTGTATTTTCCACTTGATACAAATATTTTTCCAATATTTCCTTTTTATTTAATTATCATTCTTTAAGGTTACATGAGTTTTAAATTTTATTTTCTACCTACTGCATTCTTTCTGCTTCCTATATTGATATTGACAATTATTATATATATTTTACATATATAATATATACACACACACACACACACACATCAATAGCATAATGTAGGTAGATACTTTGGCCGGATAAAAGAGTTGTTCATTCTGACATGATCTTAATCTGTCTTGCAAGGTTATCTGATAGTTTTACTATAGACTTTTCTTACATTAAACAAAACAATCAAGGCAATACTTTAAAAATGTTTATTAGTAATGATTTATTCATTATTTCTTAATTTTGTGTATTTCACACTTTCATAAAATGCTACAGTCCAAACAACAGTCTAAGCAGAAAATGTTCATGCTCAGTTCACCTTCATTGTTCACATTGTAGTCACTGTAGAAGACCCACAATCCAAGGAAGAGCAATTCTATTAACTTCTGCCTAATGAACAGATAAAGTTAAGAAGACTATCCAGTTGTAAACTATCATCTAACAAGTTTGGATATATTCTGGAGGAGAGAATTCTCAAAAAAAAAAAAAGCCCATCAATATTCCCTCACAACTTTCCCTCCTCCTGTATTCTCCATCTACTTAGAGAAACCTTAGAAATCACCCTAGATTCTCTCTTTCTCACACAATCAGTCACTAATTCCTGTCAATTCTTCTAACAATTCCTCCTAAATATGTCTTATATTTGTTCCTTTTGCTTCATCCCCATTACTGCTGCTCAAATTCAAGCTCTCATCTTATGCCTGGATTATTACCATAAAACCAACATAACCTCTACATGACCATGAGAATATTCCTTATAATTTGCAAATCAGATTACAATACTACCAGACTGAAAAAAGAATCAATGAATTCTTGTGGCCTATAGAGCTCTTCATGATGAGTTCCAATCAATTTGCCCCACCACTCCTCAACTACACATTTATTCCTCATCATACGCACGCAATAACAAATCACCTTTAAAATATAATGCCCTGAATTCATCAGAGAATGGAGAATAGTACTAGTTTATATTCTGAATAAGAAATACTTGCTTTTAAAAATAGTATCACCTGTAGCAAACTAGAAGTGCTTAAAACTATGAGACTTCAAGGTATCATGGTCAAAAGAAAGTGTGGCAACTACTTACAGCTTCATGTAGCTCTTCATGCTGACAGCACGATTTTGGAATGGTGATGGAATCTTCAGGCCCAGAAGTATTAAGCAAGGTCTCTTCTAACTCAATTTCTTTCTCAAGTTTTACTAACACTGGTGGCTCAACCCCATATCTGAAAACCAACCAGGAGATCTGATTAGTCAAGCAAACTTGACCCAGGTACTTGCCTGCACATCAAGATAGATTTTCTTTCTGAAGTAAAGTCGATATGCTCCTTTTCTACCAATTGTTTCACTAGGATATTTGAAAATGCTGTTTAATGTCTCATAGATTGCAAAATATCTATATTACAATCCTCACATCATAGCACATATTTGGGTTGCAGGATGCTCCCAATATTCTACCTGGGATCCTGAAAGATGGCTTTCAAATCACCTGGTGAGTAAAGACAGAACTGAAGTAGCTATGGGGGACACCGCACCTTGACCTTCTGCCAGATCCTCTCTGTGTTCAGAGGACTTGCTTTGACTTCAACTGCCTTAGACTACATGCTCTTACCCTATCCTTAATCTAAAAAATTGAACAGTAAATGCAGTTTAACAGTAAATGAAGACAAGCTATATTGAGAACTCAGATGTTTACATATGCTCATGCAAACAGAACAAAGTTGATAAAGAAACAAAAAATAGCAAATTAATTTAAAGCAATTTTTTGATTTATAGAAAATAGTTCTAAAATTCAGAAGATTTAAAATGTTTATAACATTGAAATTCTGAAATATGGTGAAATACATACCTTGACACAATTCGACCAATTTCAAGAAGACAAAGATACACCTGTCTTGGATCTTTGTGCAAAACTGTGGAAAATAAAACCACTTATTTTATACAGCAAAATTAAGTATGGAAACATATTTCTAGCATGGAAGAAGAGAGTTAAATTAAAAAAAAATAATGAAGACAGTGGGTTTACTAGTTCAGAAAAAATAAAGAAAAGGCACTTTTATTTTTTCTACTTATTATCTTCGACAAATTAGTTAAAAAAAAACCAGCTAACAAGAACAGAATGAAAAATTACCATGGACCTTTATTTGCACAGTATTTAAAGTCTAAAAAATTGAGGGCTTAGTAACATTGCTTATGTTTCAGATCTTTCAACAAGAGATACCACTAAAAGATATATAATACCTTGATTTTATTTTAAGCTATCTTTAGCATTGAATTATGTGTTAATACCTTTCGCAAACTCTTACAGAGGAGAGTAAGTATTTCCTAACTCATTCTAGGATGACAGCATTACCCTGATACCAAAGGTAGCCAGCCAGATGAAGACATCATAAGAAAACGAAAACCCAGTATGTCTTATGAATATAGATACAAATATCCTCAAAGAAATACTGGCAAACCAAATCCAGCAGCATATTAAAGGATTATATACCATGCAAGTGTCATTTATGCCAGAAATAGGTCAATATAAGAAAATCAACCAATGCAATATACTATTAGCAGAGTAAAGAAAAAACACACACAATTATCTTATCTCAAGAGACAAAGAACCACTTCACAAAATCCAACCATTTCATGATTTAAAAAAAAAAAAAAAAAAAGACTGAACAGGAAAAAAAGGAAAGTTTCTCAATCTGATAAAGGGCATCTAGGAAAAACCCACAGCCATTATCTTTCTTAAAGGTAAAAAACTGTAAGTCTCCCTCTCAAGACCAGGAAAAGACAAGGACATCCACTTTTATTATTTCTATTCAGCATTGTATTGGAGGTTGTAGCCATGACATTTATGCAAGAAAAATAAATAAATCATATCTGGACTAGAAAGGAAGAAGGAAAACTACATCTATTAACAGATAACATAGGCCAGACATGGTGGCTCACACCTATAATACTACTAGCACTTTGGGAGACTGAGGCGGGAAGATTGCTTGAGGCTAGGAGGAGTTTGAGATCAGCCTGGGCAACAAAGTGAGACTCTGTCTCTACAATTTTTTTTTTTTTTTTAATTAGCCAGGCATAGTGGCTCACACTTGTAATCCCAGATACTCAAGAGGCCGAGGCAGGAGGATGAATTGAATCCATGAGTTCAAGACTACAGTGAGCTATTATCATGCCACTTATACTCCAGTCCTGGGTGACCGAGTGAGACCCTGTCTCAAAAAACAAAGCAACAAAAACTAAACAAAAAAACAAAAAACAGGTAACATAATCCTATGTATAGAAGAAAACCCTGAAGAATCTACAAAATAACTGTTAGAGCTAATAAGCAAGTTCAGCAAAGTTGTGGGAGATAACGTCAACACACAAAAATTAGTTGCATACACTAGAAATGAACAGTATGAAAATGAAATGAAAATAATTCCACTTAAAATGGCTTCAAAAAGAACAAAGTACTTGGAAGTAAACCTAATCACAGAATTGTAACACTTGTACACTGAAAACTACAAAACACTGTTGAATGAAATTTTAAGATTATAAATAAAGACATCTCATGTTCATGGATTGGAAGACAATTTGTTAAGACAGCAACATTCCCCCAATCGACCTGCAGATTCAGTGTAATCCTTATCAAAATTACAACAGCCCTTTTTTTTTTTTTTTCCAGAAATGGAAAAGCTGATGATCCAATTAATATGGGACTCCAAAGGCACAGAAAAGCCTAACCAATCTAGAAAAAGAACAAAGTTGGAGACTCACACCTCCCAATTTCAAAACTTACTATAAGCTACAGTAATCAAGACAGTGTATCACTGGCATAGGGATAAATGTACAGATCAATGGAATGGAAATGAGTGTCCAGAAATAAACCCATACATTTATGTACAATTAATTTCAACAAGATGCTAAGACAATTCAATAAGGAGAGAACAGGTTTTTCAACAAACTGTGTTGGCACAACTGGACATCTATATGCAAAAGAATGAATTTGAACCCCTACCTCCCACCATATACAAAAACTAACTCAAAATAGATCAATGACCTAAAACTAAGAGGCACCAACTGTAACATTTATAGAAGAAAATATAGGTTAAAAATATGTATGACTTTAATTAGGCAATGGATTTTTAGATGACCAAAAGTATGAATAAGCAAAAAAAAAAAAAAAAAATAGATAAACGTCACCAAAATTTAAAATTTGCATATATCAAAGGACACTATCAAGAAAGTAAAAAAATAACCCAAAAGCTAGGAGAAAATATTTACAAATCCTATCTAATATGGCCTAGTATCTAGAATATATAAAGAATTCTTACAAGCTGACAAAAAGGGTAAATGACCCAATTGTTTAAATAGGCAAAGGATTTGAATAGACAGTCTCCAAAGAAGTTATACAAGTGGTTAACAAGCATATAAAAAGATGTTCAATGTCCTTAGGGAAATGCAAATCAAAACCACAACAAAATACTGCTTCACACCCACTAGCATGGTTATAATAAAAACAAAAACAGGCAATAACAAGTATTGACAAAGATGTGGAGAAATTGGAACACATGGGCACTGCTGGTGGAAATGTAAAATGGTCCAGCCACTTTGAAAATAGCTCCTCAAAAAGATAGACAGAGTTACCATATGACCTAGAAATTCCAATCCTAGGCATATATCTGAAAGAATTAAAAAATATGTTTACAGCCGGGCGCAGTGGCTCACGCCTGTAATCCTAGCACTTTGGAAGATCGAGATGGGCGGATCATAAGGTCAGGAGATCGAGACGATCCCAGCTAACGCGGTAAAACCTCGTCTCTACTAAAAAATACAAAAAATTAGCTGGGCATGGTAGCGGGCGCCTGTAGTCACAGCTACTCGGGAGGCTGCGGCAGGAGAATGGCACGAACCCGGGAGGCAGAGCTTGCAGTGAGTCGAGATTGTGCCACTGCACTCCAGCCTGGGTGACAGAGCAAGACTCTGTCTCAAAAAAAAGAATGTTTACGTCAAAATTTGTACACAAATGTTCAGAGCAACATTATTCACAATAGCCAAAGAGTGGAAACAATCCAAATGCCCACTAGCTGATTAATGGATTAAAAAAATATGGCATAGCTATACAATGGAATATTAGTCTACCATAAAAAGGAATGAAGTACTGTTACATGCTACAACATAAATGAACCACTGTGCTAAGTAGAAGAAACAGACACAAAAGGCCACATATTGTATGATTCCATTTATATGAAACATCAAGAATATGCAAATCCATAGAGACAGAGAACAGGGTTTGCCTTGGCATGGGGGAAGAGAATAACGGACTAATTGCTAACAGGTATAGACTTTCTAGAAATGTTCCAAAATTAGATAGTAGTAATGATTGTACAACATAGTGAATATACTAAAAACCACTGAAATGTACATTTTAAAATTATAAATTTTACATTATGTACACAGCATATCTCAATTTTTATGCTACTACAAAAGAAACTAATACACTTAAAAATGGTTAAATGGTTAAGATAGTAATTTTTTTTTTTTTTTGAGTCTCACTTTCACCCAGTCTGGAGTGCAGTGGCGTGATCTTGGCTCACTGCACTCCCAGGTTCAAGCAATTCTCCCGCCTCAGCCTCCTGAGTAGCTGGGACTATAGGCATGCACCACCATGCCCAGCTGATTTTTGTATTTTTGTAGAGACGGGGTTTCACCATGTTGCCCAGGCTGGTCTCGAACCCCTGACCTCAGGTGATCTGCCTGCCTCAGCCTCCCAAAGTGCTGGGATTACAGGCGTGAGCCACCGTGCCCAGCCTAAGATAGTAAATTTTATGTGCATTTTAATACAATACTAAAAATAAAAATAAATTTAAAAGGAAATGCAATATAAAGGTAAACAGGGATCTTTAAAATATTTTTTAAAAAGGCCTGATCATAGAACATACGCTAAATGCAATGATATAGTAGTAGTTATGGATCATCTACCTTTCTGTTCCAGTCCTTAAAGTTAGAAAGTCTAGGAAATTTCTGAATCCTAATCTAATCATGTGCAATATGTGCATGAACTGCATTTGCCCTGATTCTCTCAATAAAAATGGTAATTGTTCTTTGACTTATGAATAGCATAGCATCTATTATACACCCCAAGCACAAAGTATACTCTTTCAAAGCAATAAAAAGCCTACATTTGAGTTTAAAATTCATACCAACAGAGGAATTTATCCTAAAATTTATTAAACTTGTTTTTCTAAATACTTTCTAAGTTTCTTAAAATAGTATATTTGTTTCATAAAATAGCTATGAGTTGCTAGCAAAGTGTGAAAAATTAAGAGGCTCATCTTTGAGACCTCTGGAGAGTAAAAACATTAGCTTATTGGTTCAATGCCTCAAAATGAATTACTGCTATTGACAGCTCTTTACTTCTTCAGGAGAGTGAGAAGATGCCTTCTACTGAAAATGAGAAATATACAACCATCTTATGTCCTTTCAGAAACTATAAACCAGAAACTAGAGAATTCAAAGCATTTCCACTTTCTTTTGATCTCGAGAAAGTAGATATGCCATTACATCAACTACATTGTCAATAAAGATCAGCCCACCTAGATCTAAAGCAAGGTGTAAACAGAGGGATAAAATAGCATCCCATGCTTGCTCTGCACTGGATACAGGTGCCCAGATGCAGAGTAAACGGGAGGCAACTTACCCTGTGTGCAGGCAATAAGGGTGTGCACTGTCAGTCGAGAATTTTAAAACAATAATGCACCAACTAAAAGTCAGTTTGCTTTTTACTATCATCACAAACCAGCAATCCTAAACAATGTCAGTGACAAAACTTCTCCCAGGGCAGACAACTCCCACAGCCCTGCCCTTGGTACACTGCTGTGCTTATCACGTTATGAATTCAGTGTGTGAGGGTAGGGGGGTGGGTATGGGTGTGTATGTACACATACATAAATGCTTTCAAATATAGTATAAAACTTAAATAGCTACCACTTTAGTCACTACACAGATGCTTCTGTTGACTTAAAGGAAATGAGAAAATACGTCAATAATTCTTCAACAGAGCATGACTTCTCAAAATGAATTGTCAAAAATATTGATCCATTAGAATGTGCAGCTGTTGTTATAAGGTAAAGCTAAACACCATGATTATACATTATTAGGCCTTCTGTCATTTCCGTAATTATATGGTTAAGGGGAAGTTACTACTTTTTAGGCTTGGTAGAGTAATTCTTAATGTAGCCAACTCATTTAGGAATTTAGAATTTTAGGGCATTCTAGACACATAAAATCTTTAACTATAAGTGAAAAGGTTAATATATTTGATTTAGTATCTCATTCTTTTTTTTTCTGAGACGGAGTCTCACTCTGTCACCCAGGCTGGAGTGCAGTGGTGTGATCTCGGCTCACGGCAAGCTCCACCTCCCGGGTTCACGCCATTCTCCTGCCTCAGCCTCCCAAGTAGCTGGGACTACAGGCGCCTGCCACCACGCCCAGCTAATTTTTTTTTTTTTAGTAGACGGGGTTTCACCATGTTAGCCAGGATGGTTTCGATCTCCTGACCTCATGATCCGCCTCCCAAAGTGCTGGGATTACAGGCATGAGCCACCACACCCGGCCCTGATTCTCCAATAGTTTAACATATATTCAAAGTATACATTTTTCTAGGAAAATGAGATGAGGCATTTGAGTCCTTATCTGGAAAGAAAAATTAGAGGTTAAGGATATTAAAACCTCCTAATAAGCATTAAAAACAAGAATGTCAACAACATCACTTACCTAAACCTTCAGATTCAAAGAGGTAAGTTTCATCAACCCCAATGTCCCTACACCAATGAAGGAAGTTTGCGGTATTGTCCCGAGCAAAGAATGAACCTGATGCAGCATCTTTCTTACAGGGCACTTTTCTCACTGGAAAATTCTGGAAAAGATAAAAGAATAATTTCAAAAATGTATCAAGGATAGTTTCATTAAACAGTCATTTTGATATTACTAAATAAATGTTCAATCCATCACCTGTAACCAAAAAGTACACAACTTTAGAGAAAAAAGATACTTTTGAAAACTATTTTATTTTACTTTAAAGCAGAGGTCCCCAAACCCTGGGCCACAGACTGGTACCGGTCCGTGGCCTGTTAGGAACCAGGCCGCACAGCAGGAGGTGAGCAGTGGGTAAGCAAGCATTATCACCTGAACTCTGCCTCCTATCAGATCAGCGGCAGCATTAGATTCTCCCAGAAGCTCGAACCCTATTGTGAACTGTGCATGCGAGGGATCTAGGCTGCTTGCTCCTTATGAGAATCTAATGCCTGATGATCTGAGGTTGAGCAGTTTCATCTCAAAACTCCCCCAGCCCCAAATCTGTGGAAACACTGTCTTCCATTAAACTGGTCCCTGGTGCCAAAAAGATTGGGGACTGTTGCTTTAAAATATATTCTAGAAAAATGATTCCTAGAAGAACAATTTGGTCAAAATTAGCAGTAGGATCAAGCATCTCTCACCTCTTTCTTTTTAAAATGACGTAAGAATCTTAAATTAAAATAAAAACTGACAGCCTAATAATTGCAAAGCACTCTCAACAGTATGTCTCTCTACACATAGTTCAATATAAACCTCAAATTATTGCTATGTTAAAAGTTAAGAGATGGGTATGATGACTCACTTGTAATCCCATCACTTTGGGAAGCTGAAGCAGGATTGCTTGAGGCTAGGAGCTCAAGACCAGCCTGGGCAACATAGTATGATCTCATTTCTACAAAATATTTTTTTAAATATTAGGCAGGTATGGTGGCACGTAGCTAAAGTCCCACTGCTCAGGAGGCTGAGGTGAGAGCATCACTTGAGCCCAGCAGTTCCAGGATGCAGTAAGCTATGATCATGCCACTGTACTCCAGCCTGGGCAACAGAGCAAGACTCTTTCTCAAAAAAAAAAAAAAAAAAAAAAATCACAGACACCCATTTTTGCTTACTTCCTTCCATGTAGATTCATAAAGATGGTTCTGAATTTCTTGAGGAGACTATCAAATAAGGAAGTAGTTGTTCCTTCTTAAAGTTGTTTGAAAACTGATGATCTAAGTTTCACAGAATCTTAATTTTTTTTACTATCTGCTCCAAGATTATTTGGATAATTCTGCTGAGGCTAAGAGATTTTTTTGTTTTGGTTCGGTTTAAATTTTTACTTGAATAAGCAATCCATGAATATGATTTTTGTTAATGCAATAGGTATGGTAGGATATTACGCCTTTCTCTCACCTACTCCCAGTTCCTCTCTCTCCCTAGAGTTAACCACTATTACTAGTTCCTTGTATATCCTTCCTGTTACTATTTATTTCCAAAACTAAAATAACCTTAGGAGTTTTTTTTTCCCTGATTGAATACAGAATATACAATCATTGAAAAAAAAAAAAATCAAACGAACAGCAAACCACAAAGTATCAACTGAAATCCTCTCACCCACATTTCGGCAACACATCTCTATGCACAGCTATACACATATTTGTATCTACAAAACGTCACATAAGCCATTCTTCAATTTCATTTGTGTGTGCATTTGTGCATATACACTAAATGACAGGGTGTAGACATCATGTGGGGTTCAAAACAACATATTTAAAAAATTGTTTCTAATGAATGTATAATATTCCAATGTGTCTGGTTACCATAATTAATTTTTAACAATTTCTCTATTGATGAACATTTAGGTTGTTCCTAATTTCTGTACTATCATTTTCACAAACTTCTGATTATTTTCTCAGAATAAATTCCTACAAGTAGAACTATGTATCAAAAGATGTGCTTTAGGGGGCAGAGCGAGACAGCCCCATACAAACCTACAACATTTGTCTTGCCCACAGGAACATCAAATTTTAACAACTAACTACACACAAGAAGCACCATTACAAGAATCAAAAATCAGACCAGAAATCTGGTTTTAATTTCATATCGCTGAGAGAGACATTGAAGAGGGAAGGAAAGACAGTCTTAAATTGCCCACCCCTCCCTCCATCTTCCCAGCAGCAACCACATGGCACAGAGAATCTGTGTATCTGGGAGAGGGAGAGTACAGTGATTTTGAGGCTTTACATTGAACTCACTGCTGTCCTTACACAGCAGAAGGCAGAACCAGGCTTTAGTAGCTGACGTCTGCCCATGGAGAAAGCATTTGGACCAACCCCAGCTAGAGGGGACTCACCCATTACAGTAATAAGAGCTTGAGTTCAGACAAGCCTCGTTACCATAAACTGGAGTGCTCTGGGGACCTAAGTGAACTTGAGAGACAGTCTAGGCCACAAGAATTGCAAGTCCTAGGCAAGCCCAGTGCTGAGCTGGACTCAGAGCCAGTGGACCAGAGGGGAGGAGCATATGACCTACTGAGACATCAACCAGGCTAAGCGTGTGCTTGCACCACCTCCCCCAACCCCTGGCAGCAGCCACAAGGTGCAGAGAAAGCTGTGCACTTGGAAGACAGACAGCACAGCAACTGGAGGACTTTACACTGAACTCAGTGCTGCCTTGTCACAATGGTGACCTATCAGGATTCATCACCTGCTGAGTAAAGAACCCTTGGGCCCTGAATAACCAGCAGTGATACCCATGGCGTTGGGCTATCAGACATACGAGCTTCAGGTGGGACTGAATACATTCCCAGTTTTGGTGGCTACAATGAAAGACTCCTCCTGTTTGAGAAAGGCAAGGGGAAAAGTAAAGCTGACTCTGTCTTGTGCCTTAGGGACCAACTCAGACACAGTGGGGTAGAGCACCAAGCAAGCTCTGAGGAGTCCCCAGCTTTAGGCCTCGGCTCTTGGTCAGCATTTCTGGACCTGGCCTGGGCCAGAGGGGAGGCCACTGCCTTGAAGAGTGAGTCCCAGGCCTGGCAGCATTCACCACAAGCTGACTAAAGAGCCCTTGGGTTCTATTGGCAGTGGCCTGGCAGAAACCCACAGGGGCCAGTGGTGGTAGTAGCCACAGGGAGAGGCTCCTCTGCCCATAAAAAGAGGAAGAAAGAGTGGGAAGGACTTTGACTTGTGGTTTGAGTGCTGGCTTAGCTGCAGTAAAACAGTAATATCAGGTAAATTTCTAAGGTTTAAGACTTCAATCTCTGGCTCCCAGACAGCATCTCTGGACCCAACCAGGGCCTGGGGGAACATGACTCCATTGTATATTATTTGTTTCTTTTCTCTTGCTGCTTTTAGGATCCTTTAAGCATGAAGGAGAAATAAAGACTTTCCCAGACAACAAAAGCTGAGGGATTTCATCCACACCAGACCATCCTACAAGAAATGCTAAAGTGAGTTCTTTATCCTTGACCTTTAAGAGTTTATTAAATGCCTTGAGGTAGTGTTCTTTGGGTTAAATCTGCTAGTGTTTTATAACTTTCTTGTGCTTGAATATTGATATCTTTCTCTAGGTTTGGGAAGTTCTGTGACAATATCCCTTGCTATTAATAGTTCTTTTGCTTATGCAATCAGTTTAAAATAATGGGTTATAAGATATTATTTGCAAGCCTCATGGTAACCTCAAATCAAAAAACATACAACAGATACATGAAAAATAGAAAGTAAGAAATTAAAGCATTCCACCAGAGAAAATCAGCTTCACTAAAAGACAGGAAGGAAGGAAAGAAGGAGCCGACCAAAAAACAACCAGAAAACAACAAAATGGCAGGAGTAAGTCCTTATTTATCAATTTTAACACTGAATGTAAATAGATTAAATTCTCCAATCAAAAGACACAAAGTAGCTGAATGGATGAAAAAGCAAGACCCAATTTTCTGTTGTCTCCAGGAAACACTCTTCACCCATAAAAACACATACAGACTGAAAATAAAGGGATGGAAAAAGATACTCCATGCCAATGGGAAACCTGAAAAACAGGAGTAGCTATATTTATATCAGACAAAATGAATTCTAAGACAAAACCCATAAGAAGAGACAAAGAAGGTCATTATATAATGATAAAGAGGTCAATTCAGCAAGAGGATATAAAAATTGTAAATATATATGGACCCAATGCTAGAGCACTCAGATAAATAAAGCAAATATTATTACAGCTAAAGAGAGAGAGAGACTCCAATACAGTAATAGATGGAGACTTCAAAACCCTACTTTCGGCATTGCTCAGATCTTCCAGATAGAAAATCAGAAAAGACACATCAGACTTAATCTTCACTATAGAACAAATAGACCTAACAGATATTTACAGAACATCTCATTCAGCAGCTGCTTTAATCTCCTTAGCAGGTGGATCATTCTCAAGCATAGATCATATGTTAGGTTACAAAACAACTCCTAAAATATTTTTTAAAACCTGAAATAATATAAAGCATCTTCTCTGACCATAATGGAATAAAACTAGAAATCCATAACAAGAGTAATTTCGGAAACAATATAAACACATGGAAATTAAACAATATGCTCCTGAATGACTGACACCAGTGGGTCAATGAGGAAATTAAGAAGAAAATTGAAAAATTTTCTTGAAAAAAATAATGAAAACACAAATACCAAAACCTATGGGATACAGTGAAAGCAGTATTAAGAGGTAAATTTATAGCTGTAAGTGTCCACATCAAAAAAGAAGAAAAACTTAAAATAAATAACCTAACAATGCATCTTAAAGAACTAAAAAGACAAGTGCAAATCAACCCGAAATTAGTACAAGAAAAGAAATAATGAAGATCAGAACAGAAATAAATGAAATTGAAATGACAAAAACAATAGCAAAAGATAAACAAAACTTAAAGTTGGTTTTTTGAAAGGATAAATAAAATTGACCGACCTTAAGTCAGACTAAGAAAAAAGAGAGAAGACCCAAATAAAATCAGAGATGAAAAAGGAGACATTACAACTGATACCACGGAAATTTAAAGGATTATACTGAGCAACTGTAAGACAACAAAACCTGAACAGACCAGTAAAAAGTAACAAGATCAAAGCTGTAATAAAAAGGCTCCCAGTAAAGAAAAGCCTGGGACCCGAGTGCTTCACTGCTGAATTCTACCAAACATTTAAAGAAGAACTAATAGCAGTCCTACTCAAACTATTCTGAAAAACAGAAGAGGAGGGATTACTTCCAAACTCATTCTATGAGGCCAGTATTATACCAAAACCAGACAAAGACATATTAAAAAATGAAGACAACAGACCAATATCTCTGATGAATATTGATGCAAAAATCCTCAACAAAATACTAGCAAACTGAATTCAACAATACATTTAAAAAATTATTCATCATGACCAACTGGGATTTATCCCAGGGATGCGAAGATGTTTCAACATGTGCAAATCAATCAGTGTGATACATCTATCAACGAAATGAAGTATAAAAACCATATATATCATTTCAATTGATGTTGAAAAAGCATTTGATAAAATTTAAATCCCTTTGTGATAAAAACCCTAAAGAAACTGAGTATAGAAGGAACACACCTCAGCATAATAAAAGCCATATGATGACAGACCCACAGCTAGTATCATACCAAATGGGGAAAAACTGAAAGCCTTTCCTCTAAGGTCTGGACCACAACAAGGATGCCCATTTTCATCACTGTTATTCAACACAATTCTGGAAGTCCTAGCTAGAGTAATCAGACAAGAGAAAGAAAGATTTGGCATCCAAACTGGAAAGGAGGATGTCAAATATTCTTGTTTGCAGATGATATGATCTTATATTTAGGAAAACCTAAAGACCCCCCTGCACACAAAAAGACTATTAGAACTGATAAACAAATTCAGTAAAGTTTCAGGACACAAAATCAACATACAAAAATCTGTAGCATTTTTATGCCAACAATCTGAAAAAGAAATAAAAAGTAATCCCATTTACAACAGTCACAAATAAAATTAAATACCTAGGAATTAAACTAAGAAGTGAAACATCTCTACAATAAAACACTAATGAAAAATTGAAGAGGACACCAAAAAATGGTAAAATATTCCATGTGCATGGATTGGAAGAATCAATATTGTTACAATGGCCATACTACTCAAAGCAATCTACAGACTCAATGCAATCCTTATCAAAATAACAATGGCGTTCTTCATAGAAATGCAAAAAAGATCCTAAAATTTATATGGAATCACAAAAGACTGAGAATAGTCAAAGCTATCCTGAGCAAAAACAACAAACTTGGAGGAATCACATTACCTGACTTCAACCAAAACAGTATGGTACTCGCATAAAGAGACACAGACCAATGGAACAGAAAAGAAAACTCAGAAATAAATCTAGATAACTGTAGTGTACTCACTTATAACAAAGGTGCTAGGAACAGAGATTGGAGAAAGGACAGTCTCTTCAATAAAATCTGCTGGGAAAACTGGGTATTCACATGCAGAAGAATGAAACTTGACCCCTGTCTCTCACCATATATAAAAATGAAATAAAAATGGATTAAAGACTTAAATCTAAGAGCTCGTACTATGCAATTGTTACAAGAAAACACTGGGAAAATTCTCCATGACACTGGTCTGGGCAAAAACTTCGTAAGTAATACCCCACAAGCAGAAGCAACCAAATAAAAAATAAATAGGATCACATCAAGTTAAAAAGCTTCTGCACAGTAAAGGAAACAACACATTGAAGAGCAACCCATAGAATGGGAGAAAATATCTGCAAACAATCCATCTGACAAGGGATTATTAAGTAGAATATATAAGGAGCTCAAACAACTCTGTAGGATAAAATCTAATAATCCAACTTAAAAATGGGCAAAAGATTTGAATAGACATTTCTCAAAAGACACACAAAGGGCAAACAGATATATGAAAAGGTGCTCAACATCACTGATATCAAAGAAATGCAAATCAAAAATACAATGAGATATCATCTCACCCCAATTAAAATGGCTTTCATCCAAAAGACAAGCAATAACAAATGCTGGCAAAGATGTGGAGAAAAGGGAACCCTCATACACTGCCGGTGGTAATATAAATTACTACAGCCACTATGGAGAACAGTTTGGAGGTTCCTCAAAAAACTGAAAATAGAGCTACCATATGACCCAACAACCCACTGGGTATATACCCAACAGAAAGGAAATCAGTATATTAAAGAGATTATCTGCACTCTATGTTTGCTGAAGCACTATTCTCAATAGCCAAGATTTGGAATCAACCTAAATGTCCATCAACAGATGAACAGGTAAAGAAAATGTGGCACATATATACAATGGAGTACCATAGAGCTATAAAAAAGACTGAGATCCTTTGTAACAGGATAGAACTGGAGGTCATTATGTTAATTGAAATACAACAGGCACAGAAAGACAAACATCACATGTTCTCAATTATCTGTGGGTGCTAAAAATCAACAACTGAACTCATGGAGATAGTAGAAGGACGCTTAGCAGAGGCTGGGAAGGATTGTGGGAGGTGGGGGAAGTGGAGATGTTTAAGGGTGCAAAAAATATAGTTAGAAAGAATTAATAACACCTAGTATTTGATAGTACAACAGGGTGACTACAGTCAATAATAATTTAATTGTACATTTAAAAATAACTAAAAGAGTACAATTGGATTGCTTGTAACACAAAGAATAAATGCTTGAGGGAATGGATATCCTATTTTCCACGATGATTATTACTTATTGCATGCCTGTATCAAAGTATCTCATGTACCCCATAAATATACACACCTAGTATGTACCCACAAAATATTTTTACAAGATATACCTTATTTTCAGTGATATATATATACACATACACATATCATCCACTGTCCCCTAGAATGATGATACTCCCTTATATTTCCACCAACTGTGTGTAAATTTGCAGACTCCAAACTCTTGAGAATACCTACATTTGATGAAAAGAGAGGAAACCTTACCGACTTCAAATCATGACTTCAGGGCTAACGAATGAAAACTGTCTAAAAATATTTATTATTTATCCAATCAATATTTATAGAATTTACCACCAACACAATATATGGAAAATATATAAAGAAGAAAATAATAATAGCAGCTGCTACTCGTGTGCTAGGAACCATCACAAGCTCTTTTCCCATTTAACCCTCACAACAATTCTAAAAGGAAGTTATGTTAATGTTCTCAAGAAGAGCTGGATTGACTATGCATCAAGCGCTATGTTAGACACCATCTGTACATTCACTCATTTAATTTGACTGAACTCTCACAAATAAATCCTAAGATATTTTATGAAAGGGAACATTTTTCCAGATCTTGAAAAGGGTTAAGTAAATTATTCAACATCTCATAGCCAGTTGGCATGGAAGTCTACAACCTTCTAGAGATAAGAAATGTACATAAATTAATAGGTACCAAGACATAAAATCAACACTGTCAAACATTTACTTACCCCTGATTCTTCAGAGTTGCATGTTTTCACCATGTTTTGAAGAACATCAATCAGTTGACATAGTAGTACTCCATTATCAAGTTCTTCCAATAATTTTTCTGCCTTAACTTTAATACCTAAAAACATATTTCAAAGTTAAGATTCTTCTAGAAACATAAATTCAAACAATATGGTTAAAATTAAATAGAATCAGATTACAGCAAAACACTAGAAAAATATCAGATCAGACTCTTAAATACTCTTAGAAGGTACAGTTAAAATAGCAAATAATGGCAAGTTAACTTAATGATACTGAAACAAAAATATCTGTAATGTAGAAGTACAGAAAAAATATAGAAAACTGACATCGATTTTATAAATAAGATGGACTTGGTTCCAATTTTAAAATTAAAGACAATACCATAACAAATACCCAGGGAATACTAACGTTTTACTTCTAGATTATCTTCTTTAAAAACATTATTATTACATAATAAACTCTAAACATTATCCATCAAACTGATAATAGACAAATACAGTGGATATTTGGTATTTTATTATCTTGGAAGGGCTATATCGTTTAAGATTCTTTTTCATGAAAACTTAAGAATTCCACATAAAATTATTTAAAGTAAAATTTTTCTGGGGAGAAAGTTTAAAGCATTCATCATATTCTCTAATAGCGTAAAAAATATGATGCCAGACATTCTCCAACCTGACACTTCTTCCTAGGTTTCATACGCCTCTATCCTTCAATGCCTCAGAAATTGTAATCATTTTATCTACAGTATATGTTTCACTCAAAGTTCATGGCTTATACAAGACTAAGGCGGGTCGGGGGTGAGGGGGGTGAATCAGTTAAAAAAAAAAAAAGTTAGATCAATACACTTTTTAAAGCTGATTTTAATATTAACAATGAAAATGTTCATTATTCCAAGTTTATTGACCTCTTCGGTTAAATCTCAAATTTCCTACTATTCAAGACCCAAGGTACAGGGTGAATCAGAGTATTTCCCCAGCTGAAATGTAACTTTGGTGAAAGCAAGGGCACTGAATACTTCATTCACTAGAGTATCCCCAGCATCTGTAACAATCACTCCTTAACAAAGAGTAAGGCTCTCAATAAATGCATACTGAATAAGATAATACAATTTGGGGTATTGTTTCAAGCATCACCTAATAAACCAGATAACCAGATTGATAGATCTTCTTGCATGGGCAACAGAGTGGCTTCATGCCTCACAGCTATCCACTCATCATACTGACAAACATTAGCCAATCCTGGTCCATGTCTGGGGGTCAGAGGACTCCGAGGACTTAGAGGCAGATCTTCTCCAAACCATACCTAAAGAAAAAAAAAATCAATCAACTGAATGAATAAAACCTTTGCTAAAAGTCATCATAATCCACATCAATATTTAAATGATGAAGCATAAATCATACATAATGGACACATATAAAAAGCTGCTGTAGCTCACAGCAAATATATAAATTAGAAGCAACGTGTTAGTCCTGTTCTGCTGCCCAGGCTACAGTGCAGTGATGCGATCATGGTTTACTGCAGCCTCGAATCCCAGGCTCAAGCAATCCTCCCACCTCAGCCTCCCAAGTAGCTGAGAACACAGGCACAGGCCACCACACCCAGCTAAGTTTTCAATTTTATGTATTGCAGAGATGTGGTTGTCCTATGTTGCCCAGGCTGGTCTTGAACTCCTGGGCTCAAGCGATCCTTCCGCTTCAGACTCCCCAAAGTGCTGGGATTACAGGCACGAGCCACTGCGCCCAGCCAAGACATTTTCAATGTTCAATATTGTGGTCAATGTAATAAAACCCCAAATTAATGAATGGATTCTACTATTGAAGCAAGAGGGTACAATTCAACAAATAATATTTTGCCTTCACTTGTTAGCTTGAGTAAGTTTAACAAGTTACTTGACCAGAGTCTTAATATCTTAGTTGTAAGATGGGTTACTGATTCCTGCCTTATAAAATACACCTTTGTAGCGTCTGGCATTGGGCCTAGCAGATAGCAGAGACTCAATAAACATTTGTTGAATGAATGAATAAATGAACGAATGAAACATAAATGGCATTTTGTAAGCTTCAAATCATAATAACAGTGTTATCTTTTTAAAAAACATCTAAGTAGTTTAGTTTAAAACAAGTGGGTAGCAAACTATAGTCCATGGGGCAAATCTTGTCTCACCTGATTTTGTAAGCCCAGAAGCTAAGAATAGTTTTTACATTTTAAAATGGCTGTTATATAAGTAACTGCATAATATCTCAATTTTGCCTACTGGCCCACAGAGCATGAAATACTACCTGGCCAATTCACAATTTAGAATAAAAACTGACACTCTGTAAATTTTGTAATTTTATAGATGTTATAATAAATACTTGCAAAATTTTGAAATACAATTAGAGATTCTTTAATGTAAGATTATAGAAAAGGCTGTATCAATTCTTCAGATTGTAAAAGAAGTAATCAAGTCATTATGAAGTCACTTTTTAAAACAGATATAAATATCTCTTGTCCTTCTCCTTACTGAACAACTTAGAAAGGAATATTATTAGAGCCTAAGTGAAATGCATAGGAGATTCCAAGAGTAGGGTGGCTTGGAATGGAGAGTCAGAGCTTGAGTGAGGTGAGTGGGCATCAGGTATGGGGACAGCCCTGTGCAAGATGTCAGACCCTGAGTTGGATAAAGAGGGCATCTAACAGGTGCAAAGAGGGAATGTCCCAATACAGAGTGTCAGAGTCCAAGTGAGCTAAGCATCTACCCAGGGTGTGGGTGGCAGCAATAATGAGAGAACAGTAACACACATGAGAATTTGTCAAATGGGAGCCAATCTTCTCACTGAAGACAGGTGCAAATATGGAATGAGAGAAGCAAGAATGAATCCTTTGGTGTTGAATTCAAATATCTCTTATCTGAAAGCAAAGAAACTCTCAAAAGGACACTTAAGCCAGCAGGAAGGGACTTCTACTGGCTGAACTGAGGGCAATTTGAGCATTGAGATAAGTAACAGAAATGGATTATACCACACTGAATAAAATAGGAAACTATGAGTTAACACAGATATAAATGAATACACTGAAATTTTGACAAGAATGGGATTTTTACATAGTCTCAAAGTACCTGCACACAAAATACTACAAAGGGAAAAAGTAATTTTACAGTTCAGAAACCTGACAGACAGCAGCAGAACCAAATGATGGAGGTGAACTTCATCAATCACGGGACAAATCAAAACCGTATGCCACCTGATAGGACGTAGTAAGAAAAATTCCTGCCCAAGATGCATAACCTGAGTTTAGTCATGAAAAAACATCAAGCAAATCCAAATTGAGGGACACTCTACACAATAAGTGGTCTGGAATATTCAAAATTATCAAAGTAATTAAAGACAAGCAAAGACTGAGATACTGATCCAGACTAATGAAGACTAAAGAGACATGAAAACTAAATGCAACACATAATTCTGAACTGGTTATTACTGAGACAACCGGTAACACTTGAAAGTGGCCTGCGTATTAAATGGTAGTACTGCAGCAGCATTAATATCCTGATTCTGATTATTTCATCGTGGTTGTGTAGGAAGATGTCCTTGTTTTTGAGAAATACACACTAAAATATTCAGAGGTAATAGAGCATTAGAGTCGTCACTTCCTCTCAAATGGCTCAGGCAAACAAATTTCTCTGTACTACACTTAACTACTCTGTAGTCTGTGATGGCTTTAATTTTTTTTTTAAACCAAACTTTTAAAAAAGAACTGTAAGTAAAAGGAATACCAAGTGAATCTAGTCCTTTCTTGATTTTTAAATGTAGACCACTTTCCCCTTAAAATGTATTAAGCGTATTGAGGTTCATTTAAGACAAGTCTTACTATATCAGATCAAAAGTCATAGCAATTCCATAGGTAATGCACACAAATTGGTGGCGGGGAACGGGGGAAACTACTTCCTATCTCCTATGATGAGAAATAAAGAAGATTTTTTTTTTTTAAACCCCAAGGCAAACAAAGAAAGTGAATAAACTCAAGAGGCATGCAGTGGTAGGGAAATCTAATAAAAAATAAAAAATAAAATAAAAGTAAATTTTAAAACCCTATCAAAGACAAAAAAGAAATGTAAGTTATTTAAGGGATATTTACTTCAGGAATTAGGGTAGGGATTGGGAAATGAATTCCTAAATATATGAGGATCCTATGAATAGGAAAACGATGCTATTTATTTCCCTGAATTCTCTTAAAATTATTTCCAAGGAAGTACAGTAACGCTTTACTAATTCTTCCCTTTATAAGCATATCTTATTTCTATTATAATCCTCGGACTCAGTGTAATGCTTAGCACATAGTATTCAAACATATTTGTTCAATAATTGAGGAACAGATATTAGCAAATGACTCTTTGTACCATCAAAATCAAAATGTATCTTACAATCAATTGTATTTGACAGTCAATAGAATATGTTATTTGTCCATTAACCATCTGGTTGAGCTGAAAAAAAGCAGAGCAGATGTAAATGTTTGTCAAGGAAAGAAGAGCATAAATTAAGAGGGTGGTTTTTTAAATCATGTATGAAAATGGAGACACTAACATTTTTTAAAAAGTCATTTTTACTTCTTGTCACATTAGAGAGAAGAGTACATGTTGGATTTTCCTATTATTGCAAGCAGACGACTTTAGTTATAACCTGGGTTAGTCAGTAGAAATTACTATTAAAAGTTAGACATTAACAAAAACTGCATGTATGAAGATTGTTCTCAAGCATGCTGAAAGCTGCCATATTGTCATTAAGAGATATTTAATTCATGGGTACTCTACAGATTAACTTAGGTACTTGCACTTGCTTACATTTAGGCAAAATTTTATGCCTATGTACAAATGGGCCTTTTCACAGAGAGTGATTTCATAGCCTTTGTCAGATTTTCAAATGGGACTATGACCCCAGAGAGGTCATATACTATTGTCCATTGGCTTTTATACTATATGTTTATATTTATACTATATGTTTATTTATTAATGTTTATTTATTAATCAGAATGCAGGACACAGATGAATGGCAAGAAATATCTTAAACTATGAAATTAGTAAGACGTCAATTAATAACAACTATTCACTGGATGTCTCCTCTCTGTAAGACACTTAATAACCAAGTAACTGTCTAACATAATTGGCAGAGAAAGAGGTGGAAATCCTGGGAAGTCCTTACATTCAGCAGCAAGAACCTCTATGAGACATGTGAAGGGAGGACAGTCTTGGGAAAAAAAAAATCAATAAAGACAGATCTTGTAATCTGGATCAGAGAAGATTTTATGAAACTATTACACAAACTATGAAAGAATCTACCATGTTAACAAAATATAAATGTCCATTAGTGTAGGAATAAGGAAAAACATGGGCAATGTGGCAGCAATAAAAATACTCTATAAGGAATCAAGAAAATAAATGATAAGAAACTAATGACATTCCTGAGACTTGGATAAAAAGGGGATGAACAGAAGTAATCAGCTCACAAATGATTTTGAGTAATAACAGAGTTCTGAGCATATGCCAGTGGATGTGAGAGGACCCACCCAAAGGGGAAGAATAAGACGTTTTGAGAGACAGTCATGGACTCCCCAGTCCCAGAAGGAAAAGTATGATGGAACTCTATTAGCAGAGTAGGAGATTATAGCTGCAGAGCATAGGAAGGTGGACAACAGGGTCACATGCAGGGCTGTTCTTCACCATTTGATAAATTCTATTCTCTAGGCTGTCATCCACTGTTATATTGACAAGAGAAATGAAAGGAGAGAAGAGAAGAAAGAGGAGGAGGAGGAAAGACTAACTGACTTTTATAACACAGGTACTATCTCCAGGTTTATATCTGGAAAATTGTATCATACCAAGGATACAACCAAACTTCTGACATGCTTACAGGCAATATATATTCTAACAGTCCCTTTGCACATGTTATCTCATTGATTCCTCACAACTACCCTGCAAATTAATCACTATTATCCTCACCATAGAGGTAAGGAAGAAGAGACTCGGAAGTAAGATAACTTGCCAGAATCTTGGAATCAAGGGGGCAGAACTAGGATCAGAACTGAAATCTAACTGATGCCAAGTTTTACTTCCCAAAGGAAATTTTATTATCAGTTGCTTGCTTCTTTCCAGGCAGACCTTCAATGTGACTTTTATTTTTAAGTTAATATTCAATCATGTTCTATTTATACAAAATAAAGAAAACCTAAAAAATAAGAATAATATAGCAAACACCAACTCTGGAAATCATTCAAATATAAGGCAATTCTGGTTGTCTCATTACACCACCCAGCTTGCACCCCTTCACAAAAACAAAAAACAAAAAACAAAACAAAAAAAACCATTCTTTAAAACTTTAATGGCCAGTCCTATACAGGCATTTATAGGGCACATGAACAACTATCTGAAATTAAAAAACATATATTTGTTTTCACTGAAAGCTCTTTTAACTGTAAATACATACTAAATTGTAATGAGGAGGAAACCACAAAATACTCCACCTCTTTTCCCACAGTGGTATAAATAACACAGACCTACCAACCCTAAGGTATTTTTACACTTGTTCTTAGCCAAAAGGCCAAGAAGAGATAACCCTAAGGTATTTTTGAATTTTACAAATATTCAGTATAAACAAAAGCTTAGAAGTAAGTTTTTGAGAACTAGAAAGTTAAAATTTAGTATCTGTTATTAAAATGTGATGCTTAAAAAAACTAGCACAGTAAGAACACTTTGTGATAATTTTATGTTTGCTAATTATTACAGTTCAATTATATTAATCTCATAATTTAAATATTTTTCCAAGAAAAAAACTTACTTGAATTGCAGGCTGCATAGTCACCTATGTTGAAATGAAATTTCTTTTCTGAAAAAAGAACAAAATATTAACATACAGTTAACAGTGGCAGTTTTGCTACTCCCCCAAACCCCCAAATTACAAGATTTAGGAATGTGTTTACTCGACTGCAAATACAAAACTTTCTCTTCTAGTTAGAATAGTCTGACTATAAGAGAATTCGTATCACTCCTTTTTACTTCATAAAGGACTACTCATTTGAAAAAGGAAAACCTGAAACAGACTTTAATATAATATGTATTTTCTGGCATTAGCATCAAAGTAATTCTTGAACCATCTGGACAGTTTTGAAAAAAAATCAACAACAAAACTTAGCTCATATAAAAATCTCCCAGAATTTTATTTTCCCCTGTGAACATAATGTAAATATAAATGTTACAACAACTGATATTGAAATTGTCTTTTATCTGATTGTCATCAAAATCCTAACAGGTCATATGGACTTTGCATAAATTCACAAACTTGACTATAAGCTTATTCTGCTAATAAAGATAAACATCAATTTTAACTGTGAACGAAAATGCTCAATGCCTCCCCATAATAATTTTCCAAAGAGAAAAAAGAAACAGCAATTTTAGCTCCAAAGTAGTATTCTTGAAATCTACATGGAAAAAAATACTTTAATTCATTGAATTAGGTAAATACAATTCTTTCCTATATTTTCAAAGGGATAAAAGTGAAGAGTTTAAAAACATCCAACAGCATGGACTATAAAAACCTAGGATTTTTTATTGCTCATAGCAGCATAATAAGCTAGTCTATTTGTATTACAAACCACCTTTAAAATATTTTAAGAAAAAATATACAATAATTACAAAGCTAATGCTATTACTTTCCAAGAAAAAGTTATTTTTTCCTCTAAGTTATATCAGACATACCTCATGCACAGTGTCAACTATACATACCACTTTCCTTTCAGGAACATTCTTCTAGTACCAGAGTTGAACCTGAGCTAAACCATACTGAAAAGCCTAACATTATAATACATTTTCTTTGCAGGAAGGCAAAAGACAACAGAATGTCCTTTTTGATGTCATTTTCCCTTCTCTCCACCACAGCAAAAGGCCAAAGTACAAGTGAGCATTCCTAATGAGCTTGTTATGCTTCCCACGAGCTAATTCAGTGGGGAATACATTTTCCTTTAGCATAAATAATCCTTTGTCCGCAACAAAGATCCACTTCTCGGAAGTAAGAAGCTTCCAAGACCATTTTTTAAAAATGCAGCAAAGAAGCTGCTCCTATTAAAATGGAGTTCCACATAATCAGACAAGAGCTTTAACAGTTGGAGCTGCCAGCCCAAAACAAAAGAAAGCCTAAATTATAAGGCGTGTGCAAATCAAGAACAGTGACACATTCACAAAGAAGCTATCACAAGAATGTTTAGTCGTTGCACTTTTTATGGAAAATTCAACAAAATTAGTTTTATGAAAGAAATAATTTATGCACAATATTTGGTCACTTGAACTTTAGCAAGAGTCTTCACATACATTTTTAAAATCATTCTTCTTGCATAACAGAAAAAAATACTTTTAAGATGACAAAAATATAACCATCTGGATTAACTTCAAAAAATAAATTCTTTAATAAAATAGTATGCAGACAAGTTATTATGTATCTTCATACATGAACATATGCTTTTCATTGATGAGATTTTATCAGTCAATCATCAATTAAGTAATGAGTACTCACTATGTAACAGATACTAAAAACCAGTCTTTGGCATTTTCTAGTCATTCACTATCATCTTTCCAAGATATTTTTGTGTCTCAGGCATTTATTCCCAAGAGTAGCTTCTTAGCCCCAGTCCCCAATCTGTATCACAATCACAATTCTTGCTTCTCCTTCATTTTATTACCCGTTTTCCTCTTTTCTATCATTCCCTAAAAAATCTGTTTCATATAAATCAATTACACTGAACCAGTAACACTTCATTTTGCATCTTAATTAGCAACATATTGTCCTTATTTTTTGTTTTTGTCTGTCTTTTTGAAGAAGTCCATTTCAATTCTTTGCCAACTTAAGGAAGCCTTTTCCCTTAGATTTGGCGAGTGTGAAGGAAGACCTCTCATGTAACCAAGTCTAAACTACACTCTAAACCTGTTGGGAATCTTTCACAAGACACTCTTATGCATAGATCATACAAAGTTAGGAATACTATACTTAACTTTTAAAATCTGAGGAAAATGTTGGAAACACAGAATGTGCTCATCCATCTGAAATTTGATCAGAATTTGAGCCTAACCCACTCATCTTTAAAAATTTTTTAAAAGTCATGAGGTACTCAAGATTATTTGTATTAAGGCTCTTCATTCTAATTTGACTTCAGATTATAATGGGATTAAAAACACCAACTACTAAACTGATCTTTCATCCCAAAGATATAGGCTCTGAAACTTATATATTTTCAATCCTTTCTCACGGTATACGGTATGATGGGGAGAATTCAAAGTGTCCTGGCTCCAATCTGTTACAAATCTGAAGTCAACCAGGAAGAGTAGCAAACAAAAAAAAAGCAAAGAAATAAGGTAAGTTTCTTCAGGAAAAAGAATAACATTAATTGCCATTGTGCCACATATCCATTCAGCACTCAGCCACCAGATTATCGCCAAGATACATAAGCTGCAAGGGTAGGATCAAGTTGAGATCACAGTTACTACCGAGGAAGAGAGAGGAAAATGACCCTGGGGAGGAATGCACAAGGGCCTTTCAACTGTACCAGTAAGATTTTATTTCAAGATAAATGGTAAGAACAAAGATGTGATTATACTAGTCTGTATGCCTTTCTGTATGTCAAAATATTTCATCCTTTTCTAATGCTTCATTTAAAAAAATAGTTGAAGAATACATCCTTTCTGATTTACTCAGAAAAAAGTTTCTTAGCTTTAAAATTCTGAGTTAAATGTTTCCTAACTGCCTAATAAAGAAAATAGAAATACTATATCTATACCAATCATATTTCATGTATTTCTTAATGTGTACTAAAATAACTCACCATAAAGACAGCAATGGGGTAGTAGAAGGTATTGAACACATCTGATTTGAATTCCAGCTCCAGAAAATACTGGCTATATGACTTTGGAGTAGTTAACTTCTCTGAGCCTCAGTGTTCTGATCTGTAAAATGTGATATGACCATTTCCTTCTTATGGCTGCTGTAAAAATTAAATGAGATGATACCTATAAAGTACCAGATACATAGTTAGCATTTAACAAATGAATTACAAATATGGTGATGAGACATAATTGTAGTTCATTTGATATAATTTATCTAATTAAAAAGAGATAAGAAAACAAAGCTAGTAATACTCAGATATCATTAAGCATAATTTGGAAAGCTTCTTTTACTAACACAAAAATAAATATAGTTATAAATGTGAGTAAAAGCTTTAAAATAAACACATCATAATTGACAGGATACTCAGATAAAAATTTGTGATTGACAACTCACTTTGCTAGAATAAATATTTAGGAATTTATTTAACATAGACCCTTCATTCCCTTCAACCTGTCTCCTCAATGTCCTCTCTATCAGTTATACTTATTTCTGGGGCTATTTAACTGTTTGCACTATAATCTTTTTTCATGTGGTATACACTTATTTATTTATTCACCTCCTTTACTGAACTAGACATCACAGGCAAGAGACACAGTGATGAACGTAAAAGACGTGTTACTGCCCTTGTGGAGCTAATACACCAGTTGAGAAGACTGAAAATAGCAAATACCTAAATGAATACATAATTTTTTTAGTTTTATATTTTTCTACAAGTTATTAGGGTACAGGTGGTATTTGGTCACATGAGTAAGTTCTTTAGTGGTGATTTGTGAGATTTTGGTGCATCCATTACCCGAGCAGTATACACTGCACCATATATATTTGTAGTCTTCTATCCCTCGCCCCCCTCCCACTCTTCCCCCCAAGTCCCCAAAGTCCATCGCATCATTCTTATGCATTTGTGTCCTCATAGCATAGCTCCCACATATCAGTGAGAACACACAATGTCTGGTTTTCCATTCGTGAGTTACTTCACTTAGAATAATAGTCTTCAATCTCATCCAGGTCACTGCAAATGCTGTTAATTCATTCCTTTTTATGTCTGCATAGTATTCTATGATAGATATATTATATATATGAGGGGGAGCACACGTAGTTTCTTTACTCATTGATTGATGGGTATTTGGGTTGTTTCCATGATTTTGCAATTGTGAATCGTGCTGCTATAAACATGCGTGTGCAAGTATCTTTTTCGACTAATGACTTCTTTTCCTCTGGGACTGCTGGATCAAAAGGTAGTTCTACTTTTAGTTCTTTAAGGAATCTCCACACTGTTTGCCATAGCATCTGTACTAGTTTACATTCCCACGAGCAGTGTAGAAGTGTTCCTTGTTCACTGCATCCATGCCAACATCTACTGTTTTTTGATTTTTCGATTATGGCCATTCTGGCAGGAGTGGGGTGGTATTGCATTGTGGTTTTGATAATTTTCATTTCCCTGATCATTAGTGATGTTGAGCATTTTTTATTTTTGTTGGTCATTTTTTATCTTCTTTTGAGAATTGTCTATTCATGTCCTTAGCCCACTTTTTGATGGGATTGTTTTTCTTACTGATTTGAGTTCATTGTAGATTCTGGATATTAGTCCTTTGTCAGATGTACAGATTATGAAAATTTTCTCTCACTCTGTGGGTTGTTTGTTTACTCTGCTGACCGTTCCTTTTGCCATGCAAACTAAAAGCTCCTTAGTTTAATTAGGTTCCAGCTATTTATCTTTGTTTTATTGCATTTGCTTTTGGGTTCCTGTTCATTAAATCCTTGCCTAAGCCCATGTCTAGAAGGGTTTTTCCAATGTTATATTCTAGAATTTTTATAGTTTCAGGTCTTACGTTTAAATCCTTAATCCATCTGGAGTTGATTTTTGTATAAGGTGAGAGATGAGAATCCTACATGTAGCTAGTCAATTGTCCCAGCACCATTTGTTGAAAAGGGTGTCCTTTCCCCCACTTTATGTTTTTCTTTGCTTTGTCAAAGATCATTTGGCTGGAAGTATTTGGGTTTATTTCTGGGTTCTCTATTCTGTCCCATTACCTATGTGCCTATTTTTGTAGCTGTACCATGCTGTTTTGGTGACTATGGCCTCATAGTATAGTTTGAAATCAGGTAGTGTGATGCCTCCACATTTGTTTTGTTTTTTGTTTTGTTGCTTACTCTTGCTTTGGCTATGCAGGCTCTTTTTTGGTTCCAAATGAATTTTAGAATTATTTTTTCTAGGCCGGGTGTGGTGGCTCATGCCTGTATAATCCCTGCACTTTAGGAGGCCGAGGCAGACGGATCACAAGGTCAGGAGATCGAGACCATCCTGGCTAACACACTGAAACCCCGTCTCTACCAAAAATACAAAAAACTAGCCAGGTGTGGTTGCAGGCGCCTGTAGTCCCAGCTACTCGGGAGGCTGAGGCAGGAGAATGGCATGAACCCAGGAGGCGGAGCTTGCAGTGAGCCGAGATCATGCCACTGCACTCCAGCCTGGATGACAGAGCAAGACTCCATCTCAAAAAAAAAAGAACTGTTTTTTCTAATTCTGTGAAGAATGATGGTGGTATTTCAATGGGGAATTTGTAGATTGCTTTTGGCAGTATGGTCATTTTCACAATATTGAGTCTACCCATCCATGAGCATGGGATTTATTTCCATTTGTTCGTGTTGTCTATGATTTGTTTCAACAGTGTTTTGTAGTTTTCCTTGTAGAAGTCCTTGACTCCTTGGTTAGGTATATTCTTTTTTTTTTTTTTTCAGCTATTATAAAAGGGGTTGAGTTCTTGATTTTATTCTCTGCTTGGTTGCTGCTGGTGTATAGAAAAGCTACTGATTTGTGTACATTAAGCTAGTATCCAGAAACCTTGCTGAATTTTTTTAATGTTGTGGGAAGTCAGGGACCCCAAATGGAGGGACCGGCTGGAGCTGTGGCAGAGGAACATAAATTGTGAATATTTCATGTTAATATGGACACTTATCAGTTCCCAAATAATACTTTTATAATTCCTTATGCCTGTCTTTACTTTAATCTCTTAATCCTGTTATCTTCATAAGCTGAGGATGTACATCACCTCAGGACCACTATGATAATTGTGTTAACTGTACAAACTGATTGTAAAACGTGTGTTTGAACAATATGAAATCAGTGCACCTTGAAAAAGAACAGAATAATGGCAATTTTTATGGAACAAGGGAAGATAACCATAAGGTCTAACTGCCCATGGGGTCAGGCAAAAACAGCCATATTTTTCTTCTTGCAGAGAGCCTATAAACGGATGTGGAAGTAGGAAAGATATCGCTAAATTATTTTCCTAGCAAGGAATATTAATATTAATACCCTGGAAAACGAATGCACTCCAAGGGGGAGGTCTATAAATGGCTGCTCTGGGAATGTCTGTCTTACGCGCTTGAGATAAGGACTGAGATATGCCCTGGTCTCCTGCAGAACCCTCAGGCTTACTAGGGTGGGGAAAAACTCCGCCCTGGTAAATTTGTGGTCAGACCGGTTCTCTGCTCTCGAACCCTGTTTTCTGTTGTTTAAGATGTTTATCAAGACAATACGTGCACCACTGAACATAGACCCTTATCAGTAGTTCTGCTTTTCCCCTTTGTCCTGTTCCCTCAGAAGCATGTGATCTTTGTTAGACCCTTATTAGTAGTTCTGCTTTTTGCCCTTTGAAGCATGTGATCTTTGTACCTACTCTCTGTTCTTATACTCCCTCCCCTTTTGAAACCCTTAATAAAAACTTGCTGATCTGAGACTCAGGCGGGCATCATGGTCCTACCGATAAGTGATGTCACCCCCGGCAGCCCAGCTGTAAAATTCTTCTCTTTGTACTCTCTTTACTTCTCAGCCGGCCAACACTTATGTAAAATAGAATCTACCTTGAAATATTGGGGCGGGCGGGTTCCCCCAATATTTTATCTGTTCTAGGAGCTTTCTGGAGGAATCCTTAGGGTTTTCAAGGTAAACAATCATATCAGCAATCAGTAACAGTTTGACTTCCTCTTTACTGATTTGAATGCTCTTTCTTTTTTTTTTTTTTTTTTTTGAGACGGAGCCTTGCTCTGTTGCCCAGGCTGGAGTGCAGTGGTACGAGCTCAGCTCACTGCAAGCTCCGCTTCCTGGGTTCCAGCCATTCTCCTGCCTCAGCCTCCCGAGTAGCTGGGACTACAGGTGCCCACCACCACACCCGGCTAGTTTTTTGTATTTTTAGTAGAGATGGGTTTTCACCATGTTAGCCAGGATGGTCTTGATCTCCTGACCTCATGATCCACCGGCCTTGGCCTCCCAAAATGCTGGGATTACAGGCATGAGCCACCATGCTCAGCCTGGATGCCCTTTATTTCTTTCTCTTGTCTCATTGCTCTGGATAGGACTTCCAGTGCTACGTTGAAGAGAAGTGGTCAGAGTGGGCATCCTTGTCTTGTTCTAGTTCTCAGAGGGAATGCTTTCAACTTTTCCCCATTCAGCATCACATTGGATGTGGGTTTGTCATAGATGGCTTTTATTATATTAAGGTATGCCCCTTGTATGAAGATTTTGCTGAGAGTTTTAATCATAAAGGGATGCTGGATTTTGCTCATGCTTTTTCTCCTCCATCTACTGAAATGATCATGTGATTTTTGCTTTTAATTCTGTTTATGTGTTGTATCACATTTACTGACTTGCATATGTTAAACCATCCCTGTGTCCCTGGTATGAAACCCACTTGATCATGGTGGTTTATCTTTTTGATATGTTGTTGGATTCAGTTAGCCAGTATTTTGTCAAGGATTTTAGTGTCTATGTTTGTCAAGGATATCGGTCTGTAGTTTTCTTTTTTGGTTATGTCCTTTCCTGGATTTGGTATTAGGGTGATGCTGGCTTCATAGAATGAGTTGGGAAGGGTTCCTTCCTTCTCTATCTTGTGGAATTCTGTCAAAAGGATTGGTACCAATTCTTCTTTGAATGTCTGGTAGAGTTCTGCTGTGAATCCATCTGGACCTGGACTTCTTTTTTGTTGGTAATTTCTTAATTACCATTTAAATCTCACTGTTACTGGTCTGTTCAGGGTATCTAATTCTTTGTTTTAAGCTAGGAGGATTGTATTTTTCCAGTAATGTATCCATCTCTTCTAGGTTTTCTAGTTTATGTGCATAAAAGTGTTCACAGTAGCCTTGAATGATCTTTTGTACTTCAGTGTTGCCAGTTGTAATATCTCCTGTTTTGTTTCTTAGTGAGGTTATTTGGATTTTTTCTCTTTTCTTGATTAATCTTGCTAATGGTCTATCAATTTTATTTATTTATCTTTTCAAAGAACCAGCTTTTTGTTTCATTCATCTTTTGTAATTTTTTGTTTCAATTTCATTTGGTTCTGCTACGATCTTGGTTATTTTCTTTCTTCTGCTGGGTTTGGGTTTGGTTTGTTCTTGTTTCTCTAGTTCCTTGAGGTGTGACCTTAGAGTATTAGCTTGTGCTCTTTCAGTCTTTTTGATATACACGTTTAGGGCTATGAATTTTCCTCTTAGCACCACTTTTGCTGTATCCCAAAGGTTTTGATAGGTTGTGTCACTACTGTTGTTCAGTTCAAATAACATTTAAATTTCCATCTTGATTTGTTTTTGACCCAATGCTCATTCAGCAGTAGGCTATTGAGTTTCCATGTGTTTACATAGTTTTGAAGGTTCCTTTTGGAGTTGATTTCTAGTTTTATTCCACTGTGGTCTGACAGAGTGCTTGATATAATTTCAATTTTCTTAAATTTATTGAGGCTCGTTTTATGCCCTACTATATGGTCTATCTTGGAGAAAGCTCCATGCACTGTTGAACAGAATGTGTATTCTGTCTGCTGTTGTTGGATGAAATGTTCTGTATATATTTGTTAAGTCCATTTGTCCCAAGGTATACTTTAAATCCATTGTTTCTTGGTTGATTTTCTGTCTTGATGACCTGTCTAGTGCTGTCAGTGGTTTATTGAAGTCCCTCACTAGGTATTATCCTAAATGCAATGGAAGCCACGAATGAATTTTAACTACGAGAGTAGTGACGTGATCTAATTCACAGTTTTAAAAGAAATCTGAGGAAGAGAGAGAAATAGCGGAGTGAAACAGTGACGTGTTTAACAGAGAAAAGGGGAGAAAAGTGGATGAAGATGTAGGAAAAAGAACTAGGGGAAACAGTGAGAAAAGGAGAAACAAGTAGGGATAGAAAAGGTGAGAGCCAAAGAAACACTGTATAAGAAATGAGATGGGAGAGTAGTGTGGAAGAGGGAAGAGTCCACTGCAGTAGTTCAGTGACAAACAATGGTGACTGAGTTAGAATCTAACAGTCTCCACTGGAAAGAAGGAGATGAATCTGACATATATTTGGAGTTAGGAACAAACAGATTTGGCAGTTGTCAGAGATGATGTGATAAAGGAGAGGAACATAACAGCAAAGTGTCAAGAACAACTCCTAAGTTTCAGGTTTAGGGAATTTGATCAGAGACAGAGGCAGCATTTACTGAGATGAGAGTGAAGTGAAGCAGGACACACAGCATACATGGGTCAAGAGTGCTGTGTTGGCTGGGAGCAGTGGCTCATGCCTGTAATCCCAGCACTTTGGGAGGCTGAGGTGGGTGGATCATGAGGTCAGGAGTCCAAGACCAACCTAGCCAACATGGTGAAACCCCATCTCTACTAAAAATACAAAAATTAGCCAGACGTGGTGGTGGGCACCTGCAATCCCAGCTACTTGGGAGGCTGGGGTAGGAGAACTGCTTGAACCCAGGAGGTAGAGGCTGCAGTGAGCCAAGACTGCTCCACTGGACTCCAACCTGGGTGACAGAGCAAGACTCAAGACTCCATCTTGGGGGGCAAAAAAAAAAGAGTGCTATGTTTTGGTTATGTTTGTTTCAGGAAGCCTTTAAAAACATTCAAGTAGCGCCAGCTGCAGTGGCTCACACCTGTAATCCCAGCACTTTGGGAGGCTGAATCAGGCGGATCACAAGCTCAGGAGATTGAGACCATCCTATCTAACACAGTGAAACCCCGTCTCTACTAAAAATACCCAAAAAAATTAGGCAGGCATGGTGGCAGTTGCCTGTAGTCCCAGCTACTTGGGAGGCTGAGGCAGGAGAATGGCGTGAACCCAGGAGGTGGAGCTTGCAGTGAGCCAAGACTGAGCCACTGCATTCCAGCCCGGGCGACAGAGGGAGACTCCCTCTCAAAAAAAAAAAAAAAAAAAGAAAGGAAAAAAAAACCATTCAAGTAGGGGCCAGGCACAGTGGCTTATGCCTGTAATCCCAGCACTTTGGGAGGTCAAGGCAGGCAGATCACCAAGTCAAGAAATCAAGACCATCCTGGCCAACATGATGAAACCCTGTCTCTACTAAAAATACAAAATTTAGCTGGGCGCAGCTGCGGCACCCGTAGTCCCAGCTCCTCGGGAGGCTGAGGCAGAAGAATTGCTTGAACCTGGGAGGCAGAAGTTGCAGTGAACCGAGATTATACCACTGCAATCCAGCCTGGGTGATAGAATGAGACTCTGTCTAAAAAAAAAAAGACATTCAAATAGGAATGTCGGGTAGGCAGTTGGAAATATGAATCTAGAACTAAGAAAAAAATTCAGGAGGAGATAAAAATTGTCAGCAAGTACTTGGGAGTTAAAGCCATTGGAAATAATGAAATCATCTGAGGGACATGGAGAAGGAAGTGACAAGGGACTAAGAACAAGACCTGTGAAAATCCAACATTTACACTTCGAAGGAGTCGGCAAAGGAGACAGAGAATAAACAGTTGGGAGAACTGCTTCATGATCTTAACTAATCTAGGCTTTATAACTTTTTTGATTCATCTCTTTCTAGTAGCCCTTCCTGATTGGCCTGAATTAATTCTGATTATATCTTTAACCCTTGAATTCACATTTCTCCCTATTACTTGCCTATGTGGTGCCTTTTACTATTTTGAGCTATTCCTGTATACTGCTTAGCCAAGCGTAAGTTTTCCTGGATTGCTATTGGAAATAGTGTTGATAGAAGTATTCAAGCCTGGAGTTTAGGAAACATTTCTGGAGTTTAGGAAACATTTCTCCTACAAAAGTAGGAGAAATGTGAAAATCCCTAGAAAAACTGATTGTTTCCCTTCTCCACAATGTTTCTGCTATAGATGAAATATGACAGTAAAGTTTAGAAGCAGCCACATAGTGAATGGCATCTGCTGGGGACCTTTTTGATATCATTTATTATTTCTTAGTATTATTTATATGACCTGCATTGATACATAATTTTGCCTCTCACCCAACATGTTCCAGGTAAAATACGTACAGTGATTATGGTCAAGGTACCAGCAGGCCAAGTGAGCTGCCTGATATACCAGAGGAATTACTAGGAAAAAAAAATGACAGCTGGGCGCGGTGGCTTACGTCTGTAATCCCAGCACTTTGAGAGGCCAAGGCAGGTGGATCATGAGATCAGGAGATCAAGACTATCCTGGCTAACACAGTGAAGCCCCATCTCTGCTAAAAATACAAAAAAAAATTAGTCGGCATGGTGGCACACACCTGTAGTCCCAGCTACTAGGGAGGCTGAGATAGGAGAATTGCTTGAACCCAGGAGGCCGAGGTTGCAGTGAGCCGAGGTCACACCAGCCTGGGTGACAGAGTGAGACTCTGTTTCAAATAAATAAATAAATAAATAAATAAATAAATAAATAAATGACTAAGGTTGCTGTGTAGGCAGAGGTTCCAAGTTAACAGGACAACAGCTCTGCCAAGGGGCAAGGATTCTGATAAATAAGCTACTCAGAAATTCATACAACCGCCCCAGTGGACATAAACATTTTTACATCTTAAACAAACTCCATGTGTGGTAGACAGAATGATGGCTCTCAAAGATATCTATATCCTAATCCTCAGAACCTGTGAATATGTGACCGTACAAGGCAAATGGGGCCTTTTAGATTAATTAAGGATCTTGAGATGGGAGATTTTCCTGGTGGACCCACTGCAGTCCAGTAGTTCCTGTAAGAGGGATGCAGCGCTGCTCTGCCTATGGAGTAGTCATTCTTTATTCCTTTACTTTCTTAATAAATTTTCTTTTGCTTTCCTCTATGGACTTGTCCCAAATTCTTTCTTGCATGAGATCCAAGAACCCTCTCTTGGGGGTAAAGAAAAACAAGAGGGATGCACAAAGATCAGACTCACTGAAGGTGATGTGAGGCCAGCTGCAGAGAGATAGGAGGAGAAGTCACGATGGAAGAGCATCAGAGAGAGATCTGAGGTGCTACGCTACATGCTGTGAAGATGGAGGAGGGAGCCAAGGAATATGCAGGTGTCAGTGGAAACTGGGAAAGGAACTCTCCCTTGGAGGCTTCAAACCCAGCACAACCCTGTCAGCACCTTTTAGCGCTGAAAGACCCTGAGTTCTGACTGCTAAACCATAAGATAATGAATTTGTGTTGTCTTAAACCACTAAATTTGTAGTAATTTGTTATAGCCGTAACTAGAAGCTGATACACATCTGTTTTTTTTTTTTTGGTTTTTTTTGTTTTTGTTTTTGTTTTGTCATTCTGGTCTTTATTTTTGGACATGTAGCATGTTTTAACAAATTAGTTTGTCATGGGCAACCTTTGAAACATCAAAAGAAATATATTTTTCATAAATTCCTTGTCAGTGTAAATTAACTTTCAAATCAATGTAAGTAGCAGGGTAGAACAATGTGTTTCCAGATACTGACCAGTGTAACACTTGAGTTACAATTAAGGTATCTGTCAGGCCTCGGAGCCTAAGCTAAGCCATTACATATCCCCTGTGACCTGCACTTACACATCCAGATGGCCTGAAGCAACTGAAGAACCACAAAAGAAGTGAAAATAGGCAGTTCCTGCCTTAACTGATGACATTCCACCATTGTGATTTGTTCCTGCCCCACCCTAACTGATCAATTGACCTTGTGACATTCCTTCTGGACAATGAGTCTCAGAAGTTCCCCACCGAGCACCTTGTAACCCCCGCCCCTGCCCACAAGGGAAAAACCGCCTTTGACTGTAATTTTCCACTACCTACCCAAATCCGACAAAACTGCCCCACCCTTATCTCCTTTTGCTGACTCCTTTTTCAGACTCAGTCAGCCTGCACCCAATGATTAAAAAGGTTTACTGCTTACACAAAGCCTGTTTGGTGGTCTCTTCACATGGACACGCGTGACAGTATCTAGGAAAGTTGAAAATTAAGATTATGTAAAACAAATTTACTTCCATTTGTTTTCTTTTAAAAAAAAGAAAAAGATTTTAATTTGCAAGTTATATATTTTACATGCAAAGGCAGCTAACTTTAAATCTCATTTCCATCTCAAATAAATGACAATTTAAGAATTAAATGACAATTTTTTAAAATTAAGCAAAAAATAAGGAAAAAATGGTGGTGTGCCTTTAAAACCTGTTGAGTAGAATAAATAAAAACCAAATGTTATAGTTTCTCACTTTACCATGAATATTAGGAGTGTTATTTCATGTTTATATGTGAGTTCCTATGCATAAAAATCTCAGTAAGACTGAATGATTTAGATCAGTCTATTTTTCTCCAACAAAAGAACTCCTTAACTTCTAGATATTAAAAACTGCACTCTTGCTTTTGCATTTTACTGCAAACAAAACACAAATATATTTCATTTTATATCAGTACAACCAGTTAATAGACATGTTACTTTTTAAAAAGTAGTAAGTTTTGTGAATTTGCCATTTTTTAAAATCCTACACAGAACAACAATACTGACGGAATCTATCTAGTGCACCCACAAGTGCCTCCTTGTTTTGATTTCACAGTCCTTTTCTCACAAAAACCTTAAAAGTTCAAAGAATAATACACACCATGTGGACAGTCTGGGGTTAAAAAACCCATGGCTCTGGGCAACAACAATTACAGTTAATAATATCCACCCACAAAGACTGTTCTTAAAACTTTCAGACTTGGTTTGCTGTAAATAAAACATTATGAAATAAAGTCTTTTGCACACTGACAACACTTATCAGACATCAGCAAGGCCACAGCAAAGGAGAGTGACTTGCATTAAAAGGACAGGGTAGCAGCTGGTTTTGGGATGGCACACCTCGTACATTCTGCTCAGAAAACACGAAGGCTTTTACAGAAAACTTAATTATGGAGGGTTTCTCTGCACTATCAACAGTGATATCAGTCCCTAGTATTTAAAAAGCAAAAAATATCTTCATAAACACAACTGAAGATGAAGGCTCTACCTAGAAGAATGCATAGAACAGAACCAAAGAAGTACTAGTGGTGTGTCGGTGATTTTTTTCCTGGCATTAACTGGCATGAGCATTTTTGGCATGTTGGATATTTATCTTATATCAACCATAACTAGGATGAAGCAAGCCATTTGAATGATGAAGAGTGAACGCGCTTCTGGTCCTTAACGGCAGGAAGCATCTAGTTCAACATTCCATACACAGCAGGTGCTCTAAATGTGCTGGTAACTGATGGTATCTTACTCAAGGAATCTGTTAATTATATGTTAACAACTACTGAGTGAACCTAATAAATGTTTAAAGGCATGACTTAGATTTCTAATAAATGTATATAAACGTGACTTAACATAGTTCATATAGTTGTTGTACTTCCCTAAAGAAAACTTGAAAACATCTAATGAGTGTCTAACTAATGGTATAACATTAAAAACTGGCCCCAAATAATCCCCAGGGAACGTTTGGCCCTTCAGCACCCAAAGCTCTCAAAATATAACATTAAAACATCTCTGCTGGCCAGGGGCGGTGGCACACGCCTGTAATCCCAGCACTTTGGGAGGCTGAGGCAGGCAGATCACGAGGTCAGGAGATAGACACCATCCTAGCTAACACAGTGAAACCCCATCTCTACTAAAATTACAAAAAGTTAGCCCAGCATGGTGGCGTGTGCCTTTAGTTCCAGCTACTCCGGAGGCTGAGGCAGGAGAATGGCTGGAACCTGGGAGGCGGAGCTTGCAGTGAGCTGAGATCATGCCACTGCACTCCAGCCTGGGCGACAGAGCAAGAATCTGTGTCAAAAAAAAAAAAAAAAAAAACGCAAAACACAAAACACAAAAAACATCTCTGCTACAGGGATTTCAGTAGTCTGAAAAATTTCATACCTGAATAGTTTAAATGTTCTCTGCTACATTTTAAATAAGTGCAAGGCTTCTATACTCAGGAATTGCCTAAGTTTTTATCTTTCCTCAAAAGAAAACATTGAATGACACAGAAGTAGAATAACTTACTAAATTAACTTACAAAAAACTAATAAAAAACAAAAGCCCCCCCAAAGCAAGGTTATTTTCCATAGTCTTAATACAACTATTACAAATGTTTAAAATCTTACAATGTAGGCTCTCTTCTACCTGGTTTTAGATATCTTAATATTCTCATCCCCTCTTTTACTGTGAGAACATGTATGAGTCCACGCACCCCATGGCACAGTGGCATCTATTCCAGTATCAATGATAGAATCTGTAGTCATCCATCTCAAGAAAATAAGGAAGAGGAAGTTGAAAACAGCCTATAAAGCAAAGATGTAGCCTGTTACTGGTCCATAGTGAAAAGTAAGTCTGTTCAGTTGTTTGTCCATTGGCAACACAGATTCCACCGATACTCAGTCATACACTTTCTCAGTTCTCTCCACAACATTCCTCCAGGTGTAGAAAGTCTTTACTATGTTATGGATATTTTCTGGAGCCAGTAATGCCCCTGACTTCAGTTGGAAAATAGCTTTTTCCAATCCCTCACACAAAGATTTTACTGAAGTTTCTTATAAAATGGTAAGATTTTCTGGAAGCAGCTCAGGAATTCCACCAACCCTGGTACTTACAACCTGTAAACCACAACTGGCTGCTTCCACAATCGCCATGCAGAATGCTTCAGTAAGGGAAGTATTAAGAAAAATATGTCCTTGAACCAAGACATTGCTAACATTCTCGTGTTCTAAAGCTCCCAAAAGATGCACCCTGTCGTGCAACTGGTATCTTTCTGGAACTTCTTGCAAAATGATTCTCCTTGGTCCCTCTCCTCTAATTACGAAATTTAAATCTGAACATTTCTGACAGAGTTTGGGTATTATAACACTAAGCAAATTGGTTCCTTTTCTGTAAACAAGTCTGCTGACAACAACAGTTACACTATCATGCCTTCTAAATGGGTCTGGAGTGAAGTCAGTAGGATCTACAGCACTAGGAATGACAGACACTATTTCAGGAATCGGTGCTGCTCATAGTATGGTATTTTCCTTACTAGTATAAGAAACGCAAATGATACGGCTTATGTCACAAAGAGACACAGAAGTTTGTTTGTAAGCACTGAGTTGACCTTAGCAAATCCAGAAAGGGAATGGTCTGTGAAGACTGTTTGAAGCCCCACTGTCTTCACATGGAAGAGAACATCATGGGTCATGGCAGAAAATGAACTATGTGAATGGACTATTGTGACTCTCTCCTGAACAAATATGTACTTGAGCAATGGCAGACTGTGAAAGAGGGTCATGGCCATAGACTGGTTATACATGACTTTCAGAGGCAAGTAATAGACTTTGAGGTCATTAGTAAGGTAACTGATGCCTTTTCGATTTCCATAAGATTTATAACCTTATGCCCTCTTCCAATCGGGCACTGACAGAGCTGGTAAATGTGGCTTTCCACAACTCCCATATTTGGGTAGAAAAAGTCAGATGCCATACATATATTATGGGTACGGGTTCTACGTGGGTAAAGACTTTCAGGGCTAACCCGAGAGAGTGTAGCTGAGGGAGGCTGGCCATGCCCACTTTCTCCTTTATATGCCATGCTGAGATGGTTTAGGCATCAGTTCTTAGAGTAACCCAGTTAAGAGATGTGTCCTCTATTACCAGCGAGTTCCATGGCCACCTGTGTCCAGACCTCCCGCGGCTGCCACTAATACACATCTTAAGTGAAGAAAGGAAGATTTGCCAAGAGTGTCTGTCAGGACATTTGACCTAGAGAAAGTAATATGTATCCAAAATATGATATACAATTAGAAGATGCGGCAAACCTCATCTGTTGAAATAATGAAGAGCACCAGCTATATAAAGCATACAAAAGAAAAAAAAAAAAACTGATAGGTTAAACCTCCTGCAAGTGCTTTGTATTTACTATCATCCTCCTCCTCATCAAATGGTCCTGCCTTTGTACATCTATCATTCATCCATCCATTCATTCATTTATATGTTTACAGAGGCTGCCTGTGTTTACCATCTCAGGGAACACCATTAATATTCACTAAGTTACCAGGACATTCTTAATTCCCTCCTCTCTCATACCTCCACCTGCTCCATCTTTTCTCAGCCAGAATAGTGACCATATCGTTGCTTCTACCTCTAAATTTTCTCAATATCTACAGCCACCCCTCTAGTTCAAGCCACCATCATCTTTCTCCAGGTTTACTGAAACAGTCACCTTTTCTCCAGCCTTGCAACCCTGTTCTTCATGAACCACAGCCAGAGTGATTTTTCACAACTCTGATCCAAGGGCATTTTACTACTACCCTGCTTAAAACCCTCAATGGTTGTCCAGTGTTTTCAGGATAAAGACCAAACTCCTCAACCAAGCTAACAAAGGTTTGTAGGATCCCCACCAGCCCTGTCTCTTGACTCTTACACTTCAGCCTTAGTGAACTTTTTAAAGATCCTTCTGAGCACCATGCTTTCACCTCTAGGTCTTTGCACTTGCTGATCCATCTATGCTCTTCTTGCACCTCTTTTCCAGACTCATCCTTACCTGTCCAGATTCTATTCCTCCAAAGTCTTCCCTGAATCATCACCCCAATTTAGGGATATAGCAATATTACATGCTTCTATTTTGCTGCACTCTATACTTTTAAAAATAAGATCCTTAAGGTGGTTAACAGTCTTCATTTATTCTATGTCACTATAGAAATCAGAGTTAAAATTAGTACTAGAATTACTCCTAAATGCAACAGATGCTTCTTTAAGAGAAAAATAAGTTTACAGTTTAATAAAACATTACATGTTATTTGAAAAATATAGACTTTGTTGAGAATCTTTTTTTATTTGAAATTTTCCTTTTGAAATGTTTGGCAGAGATTCAACCCAAATAACTTAATTTTATATTAGACATAATTTTTAGTTTGTCAAAAATTTTGTGGTATACAGTTTTTTTTAATGAACTTAAGATCAGTTTGCCTTTACACATGATAGATTAAAAGAATGTATGGGAACATACATAAACACTAACATAAAAAATTAAAAACTAAGAACAATATCTAATTATCCATTAACAGGGAACTGCTCAAATAACTCATGGGACATTCATACAGTAGACTAATTTAACCACTTCAAAGAATAAGATAGAGCTATAGGTACTGATATGAAAAGATGTCTACTTTGTTGTGTGAACAAAAGCAACCTGTATAACAGTATATGTAATGTTACTGGGATCACAGAGCTTTTCAAAATTATGTGTGTGTGTGTAACAAAGAAGACATGCTGAACATAAAACATTTTTTTCAACAGCTAACTATCTATATAAAGTGAGCCCTTCACCATAGCTAATATTATATACTTTCTTAGAGAAATATTTATGTTGTATGACAGTAGGCAGAAGTCTCTATGAGTCACCACTTCAGCAATACCCAGCACATGACTAATGGTCATAATACTATAAATTCTAGGATGCTTACAGAGGCAAAGATGACATTACATTTAGTAATCTGCTACATTTTATTACATTCTAGTTTTTTGGAAATTTGTAACACACTTATGAAATACATGGTGGCTTTCTGTTAACAAAAACACCCTACCTACTCTGTAACAAAGTAATCAAATTAAAACACTTCGAGTTTTTAGGAGAAACACTAAAGAAATACAGTTATAATTATGGTCTGTATCTCATAAACATTACTTCTGAAGCATTTTTCTATGACAACTAAACTCTAATTAAAAATGAAGAAACTCAATGTGAGACAAATTGGCCAACAGACTCAAGTTTCCTATTCTCTCAGATTCTATGTCCACTGCATGATTCATTAGATATGTAAAGATATATCTAATATAATTCTATGTCCATTGCATGACTCATTAGATATGTAGTGGTATATCTAATGTCAAAGTATGAAAAGCAACAATAAGTAAAATACACACATTGCTGTAAGAAAGCAAAACATAAGAATACATATTAAGTTTAATCTCTTACTTTCCTCATCATCAACAGCAAGCTCTTCAGTAATCTACCCAAATAACTGAACCTTTCCTATTATTTACAAACTTAAATTGATAGCAAAAAAAAGGAAGAGTAGCTTAGTAAAAACATAGTGAATAAACAAAAATTAAATGAGAAATATAAATGAAGAGATACTACTTTTGAAATGACCAATTCTCCAAACATCATTTCTATTTATCAAATATAAATTAGGAACATCACTTCTGAAGTGGCCATTCTCCAAACATCAAAACTTCAAAATATCACTGGTTTTTTACTAATAGCATGCATTTTGTTGACACTATTCTTTTATCACATTTTGATTTACCATCACAAGTTATTTCTCGTTATTTTAAAATCCATAATATATTCAAAATAAACCCATACCCACAGCAGAAATTAATCTCGGTCACACTGACGATCCAGTGCAGGAAAGTTACTTAATGTCAGGAATATAAAGGTGTGTAACACAGAAGAAAGCCTGCACTTAATTCCAGGTGAACCCTAGTAAGTGATTTTCCTTCTTTGAGCTTCAGTTTTGTCCCCTATAAAATAGAGATAACGGCCGGGCGCGGTGACTCACGCCTGTAATCCCAGCGCTTTGGGAGGCCGAGCCGGGCGGAGCACGAGGTCAAGATATAGAGACCATCCTGGCCAATACGGTGAAACCCCGTGTCTACCAAAATACAAAAATTAGCTAGGCGTAGTGGCACACGCCTGTAGTCCAACTACTAGGGAGGCTGAGGCAGGAGAATTGCTTGACCCCGGGAGGCAGAGGTCGCAGTGAGCCGAGATCGCCACTGCACTCCAGCCTGGGCGACAAAGCAAAAAAAAAAAAAAAAGATATAACATAAACTACATTTTAGGATTACTAAGAGGTTTAACAATAAGTAAAGAACACAATACCTGGTATACAATGATGTGTTTGATAAATAGTAATCCACGTGTTTATGTGTCAGATACTGTTTTAAATGCTATACATGTATAATTTAGTCAACGAACAATAATTATCCCTATCTCTGGTACTGCCTTCACCTTCTACCTCTCCCCACCCTTTGGGGACAACTCAAAACTTTTTATCCAAGTTAAACAGCAGAGAAATAATAACAACTATGTATCACGCACTGTGCTAAATTAGTTACGTGGAATTTCATTTAATCCTTACAACAACCCTCTCATTAATAAAGTAGGAACTATTATTAACTTTATTTCACTGACTAGGAAATTTAGGCTTAGACGGATTAAATAAGGTGTCTAAGGTTAGATATTCAATAAAGTCTGATTTCAGAGCCCCCATGCTTAGCAACTCTGTCACACTAAAAAAAAAAAAATTACTAATTATAATTCAATAATGTCATATAGCAAACACCTACTGTTCAATGACAGTTGGTTTCTAATGAGATTTTGAAACAGATGAGTCAGACAACAGGTATCAGGATCTACACCAGATCAGCAGAGTTTCCACTTCTGTCATTTGAAACAATTCCAATCTGTTCCCAAAGGGGATCTGAGGTGGTGAGAATTTCAATTTCTAATCATTTAAGTGCCAAGATAGGTGATCAGATAGCGATTCACAAAGCGGTTTTTTTGTTTTGTTTTTTGTTTTTTTTGCTCTCCACACAAGCGAAGCAAAACCCAGGCTCTGACCTAGACTGGGTTTGCAAAAAATTATCTCTTAGTAACGACTGGGGATCAGCTATTCCACCACGCCATGCCACAAAGCACTCTAAATTTACAACATTCAATCCCTCGGTGTGAAAAGATTAGGAAAGGAACCAGGGGTGACTGCATAGAGGAGCACGCCCTCCAGAACTTTCCTCTGACTTCCAAGGCACTCTACAAGCCTTCTCTTTCTTTTGCCAGCCTCTCCCCGGGCAGTCCTCCAAACTGAGGGTTGTGGGCGGAAGGCATCGTGCAGGGAGGGTCTCCAGCTCTATTCCCCAGTTCCGCACATGTGGGCGTTCTAGACCCCGCATGGACTGGGAAAAAAAATAGGGAAGAGCCTATAAACCTTGGTAGAGGGCAAGAATAACTATCTCTTTCTCTTTGCAGGGCCAGAGAGTTCATCAATTCTTTTCGAGGGTGATGAGCTGAAAAAAAGCGACCCTCTAAGTGCAAGGCGCTTAGGGATAAGGGTGCCCCTGGACACCCTACAGTAGCTTCAGGCTCTGATACCGCTCTGGATTTAAAGCAGGGCGGGTAGTGGCTGGATCCCTCCTTCCCAGCCGAGTTCGCCCACACCAGCAGCCCCAACCGCCCCGCACACCTGTCGCCCCTCTCTCCGCACTTGGGTGGACAGGTGAAGGCAAGCGCAACTTCACCTTGACGGCCCCAGGGGCCAATCAGAGCACGCGACTGCCGCAGCCAGGCAGTAGCAGAGCGTCCTGGCTCCCGCAGCCCGGGGACCCAACAAACCTCCGCTTCGGAGCCTCAGAGCGCTGGGGGCTCCTGGAATCCTCAGGCTGAGGCGCGGAGGCCCCGAGATAGCGAGTAAAAGTTCGCGAGGAAAAGAGAAGGCAAACAGGGAAGTACTCACCAGGCGCAGGACAGTCACTTCTCCCACTAGGGCAACAACTCGGCTCAATCCGTGCGGGGCCGACACGCCCCTAACCAACCGCTGCTGCCGCCGCTGCTGCCTGGGCCTCCGGGTCAGTAGCCGCTCGCCGCCGCCTGTTTCGAAGGGACCAATCATAAGGCGGGGGGCGTGGTCTGAGTCCCCGCCCCCGGGCCGCAGGAAAGCACGCGACCGGTGAGCGCTCGCCTGTCAGCGCCTCCAGCGCTGCGCCTCTGGGCGTCTCGGAGCTCCTGTAGCCAAGTCCCTCTGTCCACTGAAAGGCGAAGTGGTTCAGTCCGAGCAGGTTCTCCGATCTGGCCCCTCAGCGACAGCCAGATCGAAAGGCACAGCCCCTCCCGTTGTTTCCACAGGCCTGAGAGGTGAATGAACCTCGCCTCTAAAAATTGCTTCTGAGCGTCCTGGAATGTTGCGGTGCAGCTGAAGGCGCTTCCCTGAGTTTTATCCTGATCTGTTAAGAGCCGCTCCCAAACCCACATCCACTCGGGAGCTGGCTGGCCTGGCGCCACGGTTTCCAGAGACACAGCCTGGAACCCAGCAGGAATGGGGGTCCTCAGCAGAAATCTTTCAGAGAGAGGCCCCTCTTCTCAGGTGTGGAGGGATAAGGAGGAATCCTGTAGCCCCGAGTCACAAAAGGAGGATGTTGGCTCTTCAGCAAACACGGGAGCCTGAAAAAAAAAAAAAAAAAAAAAAAAAAAAAAAAAAACTTCAACGTCAGGGATGTTTACTAGCTCCCAGGGTTGAAATAAAGCCGAGACGGCCGGGCGCGGTGGCTCAAGCCTGTAATCCCAGCTCTTTGGGAGGCCGAGACGGGCGGATCACGAGGTCAGGAAATCGAGACCATCCTGGCTAACACGGTGAAACCCCGTCTCTTCCAAAAAAAAAACTACAAAAAACTAGCCGGGCGAGGTGGCGGGCGCCTGTAGTCCCAGCTGCTCGGGAGGCTGAGGCAGGAGAATGGCGTAAACCCGGGAGGCGGAGCTTGCAGTGAGCTGAGATCCGGCCACTGCACTCCAGCCTGGGCAACAGAGCGAGACTCCATCTCAAAAAAAAAAAAAGAAAGAAAAAGAAATAAAGCCGAGACTAGATATCAACCTAACAACGTAACAATCCCAAGTAGGTTATATCTGTAAATGTGACTTGTTTCATAGCAAAAATAAATAAATTTTTTAAAAAATCACTGGCTTTGTCCCTGAGGCCTGTGTTGCAATGCAATCCAGGCTCTTCTTCTTTTTTTTTTTTTTTTTTTTTTTTTTTTGTTACAGGGTCTTGCCTTTTCACCCTTTCAGGAGTACGGTGGCAGGATCTCGGCTCACTGCAGCCTTGATCTCACGGACTCAAGCGATCCTCCCACCTCAGCTTCCAGAGTAGCCGGGATTACAGGCATGTGCCACCACACCGGGCTAATTCTTGTGTTTTTTGTAGAAATGGGTTTTTGCCATATTACCCAGACTGGTCTTGAACTCCTGACCTCCAGTGATCCTCCCACTTTGGCCTCTCAAAGTGCTGGGATTACAGGCGTGAGCCACCGCACCTGGCCCTATTCACTCTTTTAACCTTCCTCAAATCACGTCTCCTCTCTGGGCCTCAGGTCTCCATCTGTGAAGGGTGGGCACTGAACTGGAATGACACCTCTCTCTAGCATTTATTCCTTCCTTCACTCGACAAAACAATGAGATGTACTGTTGCTTGCTAAAGAAACTGAAATGAAAACAGCCTTAGGCTTCAAAGTGCTCAGCAGCGTGGTAAAGGCCAAATGGAAGTCTGTGGAGGTCTGTGAGAGAAGGAACCCCTAACAGTCTTGGAGGGTGATGATGGCAGAGGTTTGAAAGGAGCTAAATTTTGAAAGATGAATTAAGACTCTGCCAGGAGGGAGGGGTAATTGGGAATAAGAATTAATTTCCAGGCAGAGAGAGCAACAAAGACAAGGTTCCAGAGATGTGAGAGCACATGAAATGTTCTGGGAATACTCATTTTGAATGACTAAAGTCTGCAGATTGGGAGACAGATCAGGTGGGAGAAGTAGGCACAGATGAAAGGCCTGGTAGATGCTGAGGAATTAAGTTTCTTTCCCACAGGCAATTGGGATGATTATAAGGAAGGACTGGTAGGAACAGATTTGTGTTTTAGGGGAAAAAAATTTTTTTTCAAAGATGTTTGAAGATGGTAGTAAGACAGGTAGCAATCTCTTAAATTAAAATATGACGGTTACCTAATTTAGAAGGGATGGTGAGGAAGAGGTATCTGGTGATACCTAAGAAGCTGACTCATCTGGACTTAGTTATTATGTGATTGATGATGGTACCAATCTAAAGAATACAAGGAAAACAGGCTGTGGGGGAAAATAATGCATTTTGGTTTGGAGTGTGTTCAGTTTGAAGTGTGAGAGGAGTGTGCAAGTGGAGATGTTCAGAATATTGTTGGAAAATTAGACCTGACACTGTTTACATTGATCTGTGTAGGAGATATAGATTTGAGAAGTAAATTCAACAAATATTATTTTACACATCTTCTGTGTCAGGCTCTATTCTAAGCACAAGGAATCCTACTGTCATGGAGCTTACATTCGGGGGTAGAGGGGCGAGTGAAGATGGTAACTAGGAGTTGACATTTAAGTGGTAAATGAACCTGAAACCAGATAGTGGTTGCCCATTTTGAAATTGACTCAATAGTCCCAACCATAGAAATTGACCCTTCTGTTCTTAAAACTTAAAACTTACATTTGTTTTATCTGAGTTCCTTCCTTAGGAAAGGATCCCTAGACCTCTCAAAATGTATCAAAGAACTGAAACTCAACAGATCATCTCAGCCAGACAATGAAAGCCTGGCCCCTCATTCATCCTGATTGCTTCCTGACCCCTCTCTAGTTCCTTTTTTCTCACACATTGCTACATTTCTTCCCTGCTATATAAGGGCCTAATTTTAGTGGTCAGGAAGATGGATTTGAGACTGATCTCCCATCTTTTCAGCTGCAGCACCTGATTAAAACCTTCTTCCTTGGCAGTACTTATCGTCTCAGTCATTGGCTTTCTGTGCTGCAAGCAGCAGGACCTAGACCAAACTCCTGGTGTTTCAGTAACACTTTTAATATTAAAATCAATCCCACAACACTTTGCTGCTCACATCACCAAAACAGATAGATATTTACAGGACCTATTTTTCAAATCTATGTTTCATAGTGTTTCTGTTTAAAACAAAAGGGCAGTTTGTATACCACCTCATTCAACCAAATTTTGAGTTGAATTAAAGTATTACATTGGATTTCTTGAACCCCAACATCAAAATATGGGCGTTGCTCTACAGAAACTTAAGGAAAAAATGTGTTATACAGATCTTGTTTAATGAGTCGTTAGCTGTCAACTTTTTATTTTTATTATGTGCATACTATGTATCTAAATATTTGAATAGCATTTATTAAAACTTGAAACTATGCTACATGATATGTACACAAATTCTCTGCCTCATACACACACACACATAAACACACACTACTTAATATTTCTAAACCCTTTACTAAAATCTTGTCAGCAGTGCATTTTTATGATAACTTGCTTTTTATTCTATTTTGTCTTTGTAACTTCTCTACCTTATAAAACTATAAGGACAGAGTAGTCGCAAGTGAATCCTGAGTCAGGAAATCTGTGCAAAACACTTTTCTCTAAGGCCACATCCTTCACTGGTTAAGTGTGGGGATTAGGGGAGGAGCTTCCCTCCAAATTATTATTATTATTATTATTATTATTATTATTATTATTTTGAGACAGTCTCCCTCTGTTGCCCAGGCTGGAGTGCAGTGGCGCGATCTTGGCTCACTGCAAGCTCCACCTCCCGGGTTCACACCATTCTCCCGCCTCAGCCTCCCGAGTAGCTGGGACTACAGGCGCCTGCCATCATGCCCGGCTAAATTTTTTTTTTTTTTTTTTGTATTTTTAATAGAGGCAGGAGTTCGCCGTGTTAGCCAGGGTGGTCTCGATCTCCTGACCTTGTGATCTGCCTGCCTTGGCCTCCCAAAGTGCTGGGATTACAGGCGTGAGCCACCGTGCCTGGCCTTGCCTCTAAATTATTTTAATTCTTGTTTCTTTTCTCCTCTGTATAGTGTGTGTGTGTGTGTGTGTGTGTGTGTGTGTGTGTGTGTGTATCTATCTATCTCCTTACGTTTACATTAATTCCCAGCTGGTACCCAACTATCTAAGTACACTTACCATTTACCTATCTTGATTTAAAAACTGTAATTAGTAATTAAGGGTTTCATCTAATGAGCTGCAATCTACTTTCAAGTGTAGGCTTTCTAATAGGTGGTTAGGTTAATAACCATGTTTTAGAGGTTGTATCTTTACATGAAATTGGCATAATTGTAGAATGTAAAACAAGACTCACCAGTTTGACTTTCCAATTGTGGAGATGTGCCCCACTTTTAAAGAAAGCACCATGTTTGGAAATCTAAATTTTAAAAGGTATCACATTAGGAATAATCATTCATCTGCCATAAAGGTGTACAGAATACAGAAGGGTCTGTGATAACCAAATAACCATTGGGTATTGAACTGTGATTTGGCCTTTTCACAGCCATGCAAGAATGCTTCTATTGCTTAAAATACACTGTAATTTAAATACACTGAAGACTTTTTAAAAATTTTGATTGGTTTATTAGTTGTTTTGTCCTGCATTTTGTTTTTTAGAAATGTTTTTAATTCTGACATTATTGAATGACAATCTATGGATTGTGCCTTGTGTAAAGTACTGGATGAAATATTTGGGCAATAGAGGTATTGATTTATTCACGATTAATTAAACTATCTGTTCAGCAGATAATCTGTTGAGAGCCAACTATTCTAAAAATACTAAGCTCTATCTTAGAAGAATGTTACTGATTTGTGTTAACAAATAATATGTATAAATGATTCAATTATATGAAATTTTATAACAAGTTACAGTTAATACTAAAATGGTGTGTTAAATTTATATAGTGAATTGAATAGTGCCACCCAAAATTCATGTTCGTCCAGAACCTCAGAATGTGACCTTATTTGGAAATACAGTCTTTGCAGGTATAATTAAGGTAAGGATTGAAATGAGATCATATTGGACTAGAGTGGGTTCC